GAGCTATTGGGCATTCTGTGTGCCCATCCAGGGCCAGCTGCTGTGGCACAAGGCTCTGTGCCCAGGCACGTGTCCATGGAACTCAGGCCTGGGTGTGGCCCCCGCTTGTGTGAGCATTTTCCTGCTTACATCTTGGGCAGTAACAAAGGTTACAGGTTAAGGACTTGTGAGTTTGTGGGTGTCTCCTGTGCCAGGGTCAGCTTGCACCAGGTCTGCTGGGCATGCTCATCCCATCCCCATGAGCCTCCCAGGGCGCCACTGAGCCCCCAGACGCCACTTTGCTAAGACTGTGCAGGCCTCCCCCAGTCCAGCAGGCTCCCTCATGTTAGCCAACACGAGCCTAGCAGCCATAGATGCCTTCGTGTGCATCTGGCTGTGGGACTGCTCCGCCCGTGCTGGTCCTGGGTGTCCAGATGCTGTTCTGTCGGTCGCCATAGGTTCTGATCACTGTGAGAGTTGTGGGTCCCTGTGGACCCCTGCTGACTCAGTCCAGGCACCGGGCTCTCAAGACTGTCACGGGGCAGTGACCAGGTCACTCTGTGCAGGTGACACTGCAGTGTTTAAGGATGGCAGGTACTGGATCCGCGGCCGTACCTCGGTGGACATCCTCAAGAGCGGAGGCTACAAGGTCAGCGCCCTGGAGGTGGAGCGGCACCTGCTGGCCCACCCCAGCATCAGAGGTGAGCCCCTGCACACCCTGCACGCCCTACCCCTGTGGCTTCATGGTGGGCAGCTCACCTGGCCTACCTTAGCTTGGCAGAAGCACACCTGCTGCTGCTCCTGCCCACCAGTCTGGCTTTGAGAGCTGGCTCTGGTGCCCACAGCTCTGGTGCCCACAGCTCTGATCCTGATGTGTGTGAGTCCTTTTCTGCTCAACACACCCGCTCTGCCAGGGCAGCGAGCAGGACCTTCCTCAGCCAAGTGCTCAGGGCCTGCTCAGACGTGTGCGGATCCCAGACATCTCCAACCCGTTCTTCTGTCCTCAGATGTGGCTGTGATTGGAGTTCCAGACGTGACATGGGGCCAGCGTGTCACAGCTGTGGTGGCCCTTCAAGAAGGACACACACTGTCCCACGGGGAGCTCAAGGAATGGGCCAGGTGGGGCTGGGCAGGGCTGAATGGGATTGGGAGGGGTTGGGAAGGGGTGCCGAGGTCTCTGCCCCTTGCCCCCAGGAAATGCAGATCTGCAGAGACCCAGGGTCAGTCTCGGGGAGAACCAGGCGCTGAGTGTGCCCAGTCAGATGGACACAGGCAGCCTCTCGTGCTGGCCCCGTGGGCTGCCCTGGAGCCCCTGTGGTGCAGCCCAGCATGGGAAGGGCCAAGGCCTCTCACCTTCCACATCACATTGTGTGGGCCTCTGTCTCAGGCTGCAGACCCTCCCCAGGCTTGTCACCCCCCTGTGCAGACCCCCCAGGACCTTCCCAGCCATGGTGTCTGGAGCTCCCTGCAGGACCAACCCCAAGCCATGTCCAGGTCAACACTGGACAGGAGGGGTCCACCTGTGGCGAGCTCAGGCGGGGGGGGCTCCTGGAATCTCCACGTTCATACTTCTGGTCAGCGGCTCCGCTGAGCTGTGCTGGGCCATCACAGTTCCACCGGGGGTCCCAGGGATGAAATGTCTGGGAACTTAACCAGGAAGTAGTCATGAGTTTTCAAATGAGGGGAAGCCCGGTAAGAACATGAAGAACGGACACTGCTGACCCCGCTATCCTCTGAGCCCAAACCAGCCTAAGAGACAGCACCCAGAGGTGCCACGCCTGCTGGGTTTCCCAGGGCACAGCAGTGAATTCCTACCTCAGGATAAACAGGACATCTCCCTTGTTCCTGTCCCATCCCGCTACAATTGTATAATCCCTTGAAAATACAAGTCCATCATTCAGTATTTAAGTGCATCTTGCCATTGTAGGGATGGACAAGGGCCGAGCGTCCAGCATCCTGTTGTCAAGATATATTTAACAGCTTCATTAGGAGTCCGTCTTTGATTTGGAAGTAGAGATGCATACTGCATTGTATCTTCAATATCGATATGATACTCTACTTTTTTTTTAAGATTTATTTATTTATTGGAAAGTCAGATATACAGAGGAGGAGAGACAGAGAGGAAGATCTTCCGTCCAATGATTCACTCCCCAAGTGAGCGCAATGGCCGGTGCTGAGCCAATCCAGAGGCAGGAGCCAGGAACTTCTTCCAGGTCTCCCACACGGGTGCAGGATCCCAAGGCTTTGGGCCGTCCTTGACTGCTTTCCCAGGCCACAAGCAGGGAGCTGGATGGGAAGTGGAGCTGCTGGGATTAGAACCGATGCCCATATGGGATCCTGGGGCGTTCAAGGCGAGGACTTTAGCCGCTAGGCCACGCTGCCGGGCCCTATTTTTTTTTTAATGAGGGAGATTTACATAGGGAAAGAGAAAGAGAAAAAATCTTCCACCGATTGGTTCACTCCCCAAATGGCCATAATGGCTAGAACTGAACCGATCCGGAGCCAGGAACCTCCTCTGGGTCCTGTACATGGGTGCAGAGTCCCAAGGACTTGAACCGTCCTCTACTACTTCCCCAGGTCCCAGGGCAGGTGGGACATAAACTGGCACCTATGTGGGATCAGGTCGCAGACCAAGGTGGCCCAGCACAGGAAACCGTGTGCGTGTCAGACCACACAATTCACAGATGTTCCAGCATCAAGCCCGTCGACTTCCTTAGAGTTCAGGATACTGCAGCCTCTGTCTGCCCCCTCCCCACGGGCCTGGGGCTGGGACCACAGCCTCTGTCTGCCCCCTCCCCACGGGCCTGGGGCTGGGACCACAGCCTCTGTCTGCCCCCTCCCCACGGGCCTGGGGCTGGGACTGGCCAGGGTCTGCAGGGCAAGAGCTGCAAAGTTGCATGACCTGGAAGGACCTTGAGTTTGCCCTCTTTACGAAAGGTCGTCTGTGGAGGCACGTCCAGGCAGCAGCTGACCCCTGCCTTCTGGGGTGCTTCACCTGTTTCCTGTTCAGGGAAGAGCCAGACACCCCATCCTGAGGTTCCCACCAGGGCTGCTCCTGTGTGCTCTTCCTGGGTCCCAGGCTCCCAGGAAGCACGGCTGCACAGGTGGGCTGGGGGCCGCAGCCAGGACTGCTGTCCGGGGCAGGACTGGGGAGAGGGTCCTGTTGTGCAAGCACGCCATGCTCAGCCTGGGCCGCCTCGTGTCCACAGGAACGTCCTGGCCCCGTACGCCGTGCCCACGGAGCTGCTGCTGGTGGAGGAAATCCCGCGCAACCAGATGGGCAAGGTGGACAAGAAAGCCCTGCTCAGACGCTTCTACCCCGCGTGAGCACGACAGCACCACAGCCTGACGCTGAGGTGTCCCCACGGCCCCCCGGCCCCGAGGCCCCACAGCCCCACGGCCCCCCGGCCCCACAGCCCCGCGGCTGGACTCTGCTGGGCAGGTGCTCCCTGAGAGATGGATGGGGCAGGAGCAGCTGCCTTCATCAGCCCACACGGGCGTGGTTGGTATGCCAGAGGCTGCGAAGAGTCCAGAAGCTTCCACATGATGCCTGGAGGGCAAGGCATGTCTGCCCACAGCAGACACCCACTGTCCTGCGGCCTGGCCGTGGCATGTCCAGGGTGTGGCTTGGCCACCCTACACTGGGTCACCCTTTCCTTGTACTGCTAGGGGCTGGCCTTGGACTCGGAGAAAAAGCCCACTGAGCGGAGCTTGGGCCTGTGGAGGGCCCAGCACTCACTGGTCTAGATAAGGGGTCTGGCTTGTTAGCAGCTCTGGTGGCGCCTGCTCCTGGAGAAGTCAGGGGGACTAAGATCTCTGAATTCCTCATCTGTTTTATCTTGTCTGTGTTTACTGAAGCACTTTTCTGTTCCACACCCTGGGGCTCCGGCTCCCAAGGGCATGTGCCAGCCATGGCCCAGTCCAAGGGATTGACAGGGATGGCCCTGCCGGGCGCTGTGTGGTGATGACCTCTGCCCTCTGCAGCCCACCCCATGTGTTAGCAGGGGTGCTGAGTGGACAGCACGGATGGCACAGGCCCACAGCCAGCAACAGCTCTGCTAAGCACCTACGAGCCTGCGTCAGCCCCACGACAGTGAGGTCCAGCCCCAAGGACCTGGAGGAGGCAGCCCCAGCCCACCCTATGCCTCAGCCACTGGCACCTCCAAGGGGACAGAGCTGGCAGGTGACATGGACAGAGCAGGCCTGTACCCGCACCTGCCAGGAGCATCTCAAGCCAGGACTGCCCCACGCACTCCCCAGGGAGAAAGCCCAGAGCCGAGGTGTGGAGGCAGCTTCGGGGTTGGCACTTGACCCGCAACAGGTTGGTGCCCAGTGACTGCCAGGGCCCTTGTCCACAATCAGCAAGGGCACTGGGGAACCCTGCCCACTTGGGCATTCCCCAACCCCTCCACCTGAGGAAGTGCAGCTCATCTAGGGCCTAGCCAGGCTGGGGGCTTCCCTGGGTTCCTGCTGGCCTGGAATGGGGAGCCTGGGTGAACTGCCTCGTGTACGTGGGGCCAGCATCGTCAGGAGACTCAGATCATGGCCCCTTGACCACTCCATCTCACAGCAGCCCACCACTGTCACCCCTGCTGAGGAGCTGGGCCAGGCCAGGGCCACAGCTGCTGGGCCATGGCCCCTCCACAGAGGGAGCAGAGGTGGGAACAGGCCCTCCCCCACTCACCTCTGCACAGCATTCCTGGAGCCATGCTGTTCTGTCTTGTCAACAAGACGGAGGGGAAGGGACTGGCTGGCTGAGCCCACCAGTGGCCCACAACAAATGGACCCATTGCTAGGCCCTCTCCTGATGGGACACAAGGTCCCAGACTGGAGGGTCCCACTCAGGACTCCCTCAGGGGGCATGCAACAGATAGGAGCCTCACCTTCTCCCCACCATCCATCCAGCGACTCCTCAGACCCTGTCCACACCACCATCTGGACCCTTCCCACCCCCAGACCCACAGGTTCCAGGCTTGCTCCGAGGGTCCTTGGGGAAGAACAAGCCATATCCAGGGTGAGCCTGGTGGTGGCCCAGGAACCTCTCAGGAGTGCAGCCCAGGCCAGTGCACCCCAGGCTAGTGTCTCACCCTTCCTAAGCTCCCAAACCATACTCCCTGTGTGTTGCATCTGGCCCTGGGGGGTCCAGGGGAGCCCTGCCCCGCTGGCCGCTGCACTCTGGGCTTGAGCTGGACGGAGCCACAGAGGCCAAGTGACTGTTTATGGTCTGCTCTGCGGTCAGGAGGCTGCAGGCGATCCACAGGTGAGGTGCGCTCCCCCACCCCTCTGCCCACATACCCCAGAGGAGGGAGCTGGGATCAGCCCATGCCCACGCATTCATGGGCGTGACAGGGAGAGGGTTGGGGGTCTCCAGGCAGGTCCCAAACGTGGGTGGCAGGAATATGGAAGGGATACAGCCTCTGCCCACAGCACCAGCCGGGCAGCACATGCTGCGGAGCCCACCAAGAAGCCCTGGGCCAGCTCCCAGCCGCCCAGGAGCCCGCCAGGAGCACCTGCAGGCTCCGGACAAGAGGGAGGATAAGGGTCTAATGGATCGCCCAGCCAGGCAGGTGCCAGGTGGGCCTGTGCAGGACCTAAGGCTCTGCCGAGGTAGCTTTAACCCTAACTCTCCTGCTCCCCTGTGCAGAGGCACCCCGAGGGAGGATGGTACTTTGAGACAGGTCCTTGCTCCTCAGGTGCTGTCTGGGCCGCAGCGTGGGAAGTGAGGGGAATCCCTCCCACTCCTCTCACAGGTTGGTCAAGGTCATCTCCCACCCTGTCTCCTGACCCCCTGCTACCCTAGTGGGTGCAGAGCACGTGACTAGGGGCCCAGACCCCTTAGCCGGACCCCTCCAACCCCTACCCACACCCTTCCTCTAGCCGGAACTGACCGCAGGCCAGTGGGAGAGGTCCCTCCATCCATAGAGAGCTGCTGCCTCCGAGTACCAGCCCACACACGCTGACCAGCTGTCACTCAGCTCCAGGCCGCGCCCGGTCCACCTCAAGGTTCCCGCCCCGGGTCCAACAACTTGCGGCCAGCCCGCACTTGCGCTGTCACTCAGCGCTTAGCCCCGCCCCCGGGTGCACTTGCGCTGTCACTCAGCGCTCGGCCCGCCCCACACACTTGGCGCTGTCACTCAGCCCGACCGCGCGAGTCTGGGTCCAGCTCGAGGTGGACTCTTCGCTGCTGCTCCGCAACCGACCCCATGGGCACTGCGCTCCTGCTGGCTCTCGGGTTGCTGGCCCAGGTAAGGCATGGGTGCTCGGGGACCCCTGCCCGCCACAGCCCTTGGGACAGCGTCTAAAGTGCGTGCTGCGGGCCGCCCCCAGAACCCTCGACCTGGCCTTTGGGGGCTGTGGGCTGGGCACCGCGTGGGCACCGCGTGTGGGGCTGCCCTGTTCAGGGCAGGCCTCAGACCAGTCTCACTGTCTGCAGGTGAACACGAGGGAGGACTGGGGGCCAGGCCAAGACCCCCTGCAGAGCCTTCCTGGGGGAGTTTGGGCCTATCTCAGTGGGGTCTCTTGCAGTTCCTGGCCTGGGTTGGAGTCCCCACTTCAGGCCCCTGGCCAACAGGGGCAGCTGTGGGCTCCGCCCTCCAGGAACTGGCTTGCTTTCCTTGGGGATGTCGGGGCTGCTCCATTCCCACCCCCAGGACTGCTGGACACTGTGGGCTTGGATCTGGGAATGGAGACCGTGGTGTCACTCGCCAGCCCCTGCCTCTAGTGACCAGGCTGCACCCGGGGTCCCGGGCCAGCAGCAGCAGTTGGTGGTCCTGGGTAACTCCCACCCTGGAGCATTTGGGATCAGCATTGCTGAGGGTCATTATCCATTGTGGCCAGAGGGTGGTCAGGCCCCACTGGACACTGTGGTGGCAGCTAGCTCCCTCACACCCCTACTGAGGGGGTCTCCTGAGTCCCTTCCACTACCTGCTGGCCTCCTGGCTCACCAGCTCTGGTATCAGCCCCTGGCCACTGCCCAGGCCTTAGCCAGGCTGCCCCTTGAGCCAGTCAGGTCCTCACTCTAGCCTCTCCCCCTGGGCTCTTGAGCACACTGCTGCCCATGGAGACGGTGGCCAGCATGCCCTGTGCCCCCAGCCAGGCCAGGGTTCCTCTGTAACGATTTTTGCTCTTCCTCAGAGGCCCAGGTTTCCCACCCGACATGGTCACTACACACTCTGTCTTCTTACTCTGTCCCTGCCAAAACCCCAGGCAGGTGGCCACAGCCCATGGGGTGGCTCTGTGGCCTTGGAAGGAGTGGACAGCCCTCCAGTACTGGTCCCAGTGGAGTCCGAGTCCCCCACAGGCCCTGGGTCAGGTCCTTAGAACCAGCCCCATGAGCCCCTTCCCCTACCCCCGGTGCCCTGCCCAGAGCCGGACATGGTGGGCTGGAGCTGGCCAGGAGAGCCACGTGGCATATGAAGGAAGGGCCAGGCTTCGCTGTGAAACTTCAGGCAGCAGCCATGTCCGTTGTCATGTTGGGGGGATGGGAGGAAGCAGCTGCCTTTGCCTCCCCTTCTGGAGAGGGCACAGTCCCAGGGCAAACGCCTGGCCAGGCTGACAGCTGGGCCCATCCCTGGCCCTCCAGGAATGGGAGGCCCCAGATTCCAGCAGAAGGAGGTGGGGAGGGGCTTCTCGTCTCATCCCCAGCCGGCCCCTGAAGGGCAAGGTCAATAGGCAGCCCAGGTCTCCTTCCAGGCCTGGCTTGCCTGGGTCACTCACAGCACAGGGGGTGAGGGGTGCAGACATTCCTCCCTGTCTACCTGGCCAGCCGGCCCTTCATGGGCAGCTCTGCCACTGGGACCTTATACTCCACAGCGAGCCCATCATTAGTATTGCTGTGCACAGACGTCACTTGGGCCTCCCGGTATTGACGCCTTACTCTGTGCCCAAGACCAGGCAAGGGTGCTCCCACCTGTGGGTGGCCATGCCAGGAACTGTGAGCTGGCCAGGCCAGGCAGCTTTGCATGAGACCCAGGGAGCCTCAGCTCCCCTCAGCAACTCCCAGGCCCTCCCTGTGGCCCCCATGTCATCTGGGCAGCTGGGCAGAGAACAAAGAGCAGAGGGCAGACAGATGTACTCCTCACCCACCACCTACAGCCTCAGATGTGGACCGAGGCCCTGCCCAGGCTCTGTGGCTTCCCTGGCCTCAGAGACTTGGGCTGTGGCCAGGCCAACCACTCAGGTCTCCAGGGCTTCGCTCAACTGTGCCCCAGAAGAATGACCTGGGTGGCCCTGTCTGGTTGCGGCTGGCTGGACAGCCCCCTTGCTTTGTGGGTTCCCAGGGCCCGAGGTGCCCCCTGTGCTGGCTCAGCCTAGCCAAGGGCTCGGACACCACATGCCTTGGAGCAACAGCCCAGGCCCCTCAGTGGCAGGGACGGTGAGGACTCAAGGCTACCTGGCTCCAGGACAGCCGCTGAGCTGCAGAGGCCATGAGCTCGGTGCCCCTGTGGGTAGCAGGTGCATCCCTGGCAGGTAGGCACCGTGGCTTGGAAGAGGCCAGCTCCAGGGCCAGCTCTGCCATCTGTCCATGGATGGCTTCCCAGGAGGGGGATGGAGTGAAGGACCCTTCTGCCTCATCTGCCTGCCCCCGCCTGCTGCGCGGATTCTCAGCCCATGGAGGCCTCAGTCATGCCCCCACAGGTGGGCAGGGGAGCCCTCCAGGCTGGCCCTGGAGTGGACAATGGCCAGCAGAGGCCGTGGAACCATGCCTACTGGGGACATTGCCAAGCACAGTGCAAAATGCAGCCATCCTGTGGGCCACCTCCCACCTTGCCCTGTCCTGGGCCTCTTCCACTCACTGGGCATTGCTGCCTCCCTCATGCAGTACCGCCTCAGAGGACGCCAGGGTGCAGGGGCCCCAGCTCGCAGTTGATCCCTGCTCCAGGGGCTGGGATGTAGTCTCCAGAGGTGAGGTGCCGGACACAGCACTAGGTGGACATCCATGAGCTCCCCCAGCTCTCACCTACCTGCCCCAAAGAAGAGGGACACCCTCCTGACCCCAGTGTCTGTGGGGTGCCCTGCCCTTCTCCCTGAGGGCAACCTACCAGTTGGGGCACAGGTGACAAATGGCCCAAGAGAGGGCGAAAGACTCAGACCCCAGCCACACCTCCCCCACAGGTGGCCCATGCTGCCCATCCCAGCCAGTACAGTGACCACTAGCCTCGGAGAAGCCCCTCTGAGCCACAGTCATGCATGTGGAAGCAGGCAGCCAGACCCCCAGGCTCAGCCACCCTCCCTGAAGTCAGGCCTGGTGAGGGCCGTTGAGTGCCTGGACATGTGGAAGGGAGCCTGGGCTGTGGAGGCAGCACTGGACCGGCCAAGGAGCCCAGGGAGTTGCAGCCTGGTGCTGTCCAGGGGCAGTGAGCGGACTGCCCCTGCTGCCCCAGCCTTGGCCTCACAGTTTAGCTGGTCATACTGAAAGAATCCTGTGCCAGGTGGGGTGGGCAGGGAGTTTTGGCACCAGGGCTCCTGGGAGCAGTGCTGGTTGCCTAGGGCTTGGGTGGTCCCGAGCACAGGTGCATACTGAAAGCCAGCTGGTCCCAGCTTAGCCTCCCTGTAAACAGAGTGGGCAGCAGGTGGGCAGTCATCCAGGCAAGAGGCTAGAGCCAGTCTAGGGGAGGGTACATAGGCAACATGTGTCATCTTTTTTTTTTTTTAAGACTTATTGATTTATTGGAAAGTCAGATATACAGAGAGGAGAGACAGAGAGGAAGATCTTCAGTCCGATGATTCACTCCCCAAGTGCGCGCAACGGCCGATGCTATGCCGGTCCGAAGCCAGGATCCAGGAACTTCTTCCAGGTCTCCCACGCGGGTGCAGGGTCCCAGACCCTGGGCCGTCCTCTGCTGTTTCCCAGGCCACAGGCAAGGAGCTTTCCGGGAAGGGGAGCAGCTGGGGCTTGGACAGCCACCTCCAATATGAGTGTCCAGCCTCGCTGGCCAGACCAAGACCTCTGGAAGCTGGGGTGTATTTCTGTGAGTGGGGTCATCTGGGCCTTGGGTGGTGCCCTGCCCTGAAGGGCCACCGTGGGTCCCCCAGGTTTCGGCCCCGCTCCAGGCTGTTTTCCTGCTGCTCCACCTTGGGCCAAGAGCATCCTCCAGCACCCCCCTCCCCACTGAGGGGTCTACCTATCCAGCGGGGCCACTCTGCCCATCCACATTTGGGGCAGGGGTTGTGGTTCCAATGACCAGTGCTTGTTGGGATGGGCGCCCCAGCCCCACACTCCTGGGGGACAGAAGCTGCTCTGTATCCCTTCAGTTTGTGGCTGCCAAGGGGAGACCCACGGACTTGCCCAGCATGGGATGGGCCAGTGGCTGAATTCAGGAATAGGTGCCCCTGTACAGTACCAGCCTGCTTACCTGAGTGTTGGGTCCAGGAACTGCAGATGGAGACATGGCCTGTAATGAGCCTCTGAATGGGGGTCCTGTGCTGTGACTGGGGTCCTGTGCTGTGTAATGGGGGCCCTGTGTGAATGGCTGTCTCTCTTGCAGGGCCTTGGCCCATCCTGGTGTGCTCTTGAGTCGTGGCACCTCAGCACCCTGTACCCCTGGCACCAGCCCCGTTCTGTGAGCCGTGTACGGCGAGCCTGGGTCATTCCTCCAATCAGCGTGTCTGAGAACCACAAGCGGCTCCCATACCCACTGGTGCAGGTGAGGAATCTTGGGCAACAACAAGGGGCCGGGGAGGCAGCTGTGTGTTCCCCCGTTGCTCCTCAGGTCTCAGCTCTGGGGAGGCCCCCTGCCGTGGCCTCCCTTGCCACATCTTGGGGTTTCTCACCTGGGCTGGGGCTCAGTCAGGCAGCCCCCCTTGGGGACAGGCCCCCCACAGGCTGAGGACTCTGGCTGCCTAGGCCAGCAATGGCCCCCAGGGGCCTGGGCTGGGGACCCAGTGTCTCTTGTGGCTCCCCCTAGATCAAGTCAGACAAGCAGCCACTGGGCAGTGTCCTGTACAGCATCCAGGGCCCCGGCGTGGACGAAGAACCACAGGGCGTGTTCTCTATTGACAAGTTTACCGGCAAAGTCTTCCTCAATGCCATGCTGGACCGCGAGCAGACTGACCGCTTCCGGGTGGGCAGGGTCTGGGTTACTGAGTGGGGGTGGGAGCTTGGGGTCTAGTCTCAGGGTAGTGGAGGCAGCGAGGCTGGGGTGGGGGGAGGAGGGCGGGTCAGCAGCCACCCTACCCTGTCAGGCTAACACCTACAACCAAGCTTCCAGGAGACCCAGGCAAGAGAGGGCAGGGGTCACCCCGACTCCACCCAGCCTGACAGCACCAGCCATTCCCCCCCAGCTCAAAGCCTTCGCGCTGGACCTGGGCGGGTCCACCTTGGAGGACCCCACAGACCTGGAGATCGTGGTGGTGGACCAGAACGACAACCGGCCAGCCTTCTTGCAGGAGATGTTCGTGGGCCGGGTGTTGGAGGGCGCTGCCCCAGGTGAGGCCGCAGGCACTCGCCAGAGGAGAGGCTGGGTACCCCAAGTGAGTACCCAAGTGGGTACTCTCAGTGACGTACTGCGTCTTCAAATGGGTCAGGTCTCCTGCAGTCAGCCAGGAGGCCAACCTGTGACTTCCCTCCGCACCTCCTGGGCTCCCAAGGCCTTGAGGAGTCTAATGCCACACTCTCCTAGTCGTGTCTGGCTCTGGGGGATTTTCTTGTCCACTGGGCACAGGTGGGCACTAGACCCTCACGGGCACTTCCGAGATGGCTGGCAGGTGTCATGCAGGAAGCGCTAGTGGCCCGCATGTAAATGTGATGTGTGTATGCCATCTCTGCGCTCCTCTCCCCGCCTTCCCAGGCACCTACGTGACCAGGGCCGAGGCCACCGACGCTGACGACCCTGAGACCGACAATGCGGCGCTGCGCTTCTCCATTGTACAACAGGGCAGCCCTGAGGTGTTCAGCATTGATGAGCTTACCGGGGAAATACGCACCGTGCAAGTGGGGCTGGACCGCGAGGTGAGCGGGCGGGGTGGGGCGCAAGGGGGCTGGACCGCGAGGTGAGCGGGCAGCGTGGGGCGCAAGGGGGCAGGACCGCGAGGTGAGCGGGTGGGGTGGGGCGCAAGGGGGCTGGACCGCGAGGTGAGCGGGCAGCGTGGGGCGCAAGGGGGCTGGACCTCGAGGTGAGCGGGCAGCGTGGGGCGCAAGGGGGCAGGACCGCGAGGTGAGCGGGCGGGGTGGGGCCCAAGGGGGCAGGACCGCGAGGTGAGGCTTGCCAGGGCCCATTTGTGTGTAGGACCAAACTTGTCGCAGCCCATGCCTGGCCTCCCATTCCATTCCCTGGGTAGGGCTGGCAAAGGCAGCCAGTGCCAGCTGTCTGCTACAGGGGGTGCTCCTGAGCCCCACCTCGCCTGGCGCCTGGCAGCTGCCCTGACTGTGCCCGCCCTGACCCCCAGGTGGTGGCCGTGTACAACCTGACCCTGCAGGTGGCAGACATGTCTGGGGACGGCCTCACCGCCACTGCCTCGGCCATCATCTCGCTGGATGATGTAAACGACAACGCACCCGAGTTCACCAAGGAGGAGGTGCCCACCCCGTCCTTCCTGGGGCTGCTGGCAAAGGGCGGGTTTGGGTGGGAGAGGGAGCAGTGTGTGGGGTGTAACTGGAGTTGGGGTCCTGTGGTTGGGAGCCTCTGCTCTGCCCAGCCAGCCTATGGAAGCAGGGCGGAGGGTGGAGGGCGGAAGGGGGCTCCTGGCCCAGGGGTGACCGCAGCTTGGCTCCCTCAGTTCTTCATGGAGGCCACAGAAGCGGTCAAGGGTGTGGATGTGGGGCGGCTGCAGGTGGAAGACAGGGACCTGCCGGGGTCCCCCAACTGGGCGGCCAGGTTCACCATCCTGGAAGGTGACCCTGATGGGCAGTTTGCCATCCGCACGGACCCCAGGACCAATGAGGGCGTGCTGTCCCTGGTGAAGGTGAGTCTGGTGTGTTTGTCTTATCCTTGGGACCCCACACCCCTTCCCTGCAGGGCTGTACCCCCTGGCCACCTGGGTCCTTGTGTGTGTCCTCAGTGGGGAGAGGACACCCCACTTCTCTCCCTAGGTGGGTCCCAACAGTCAGGGCTGGGTGAGGCCGAAGCCAGGAGCCTGGAGTTCCATCTGGCTCTCCCACGTGGGTGCAGGGGCCCATGCACTTGGGCTGTCACCTGCGGCTTCCCAGGCCACTAGCAGGGAGCTGGTGGGACTCGAACCTGCGCCCTATGGGATGCCAGCACTTCATGTGGTCCCCTAACTCACAGTGCCACACACAGCTCCCACCTGACTACCTTTTGTCACACACACATTTTAGTTCCTCAGGGTTGAAGGGGACAGAGGGAGGAAGCAGGGGTTCATGGGACCCCCCTCAGCCACGACCCTGGCTTCCTCCCCCAGCCTCTGGACTACGAGAGTCGTGAGCGCCACGAGCTCCAGGTGCTGGTGCAGAACCAGGCCCCGCTGCAGGCAGCCGCGCCGCGTGCCGTACGGGGACAGGCCAGGGTCAGCGTGTGGGTGCAAGACACCAACGAGGCCCCTGTGTTCCCAGAGAACCCCCTGCGGGTCAGCCTGGCCGAGGGTGCCCCCCCAGGCACCCTGGTGGCCACCTTCGCTGCCCGAGACCCCGACACACAGCAGCTGCAGATACTGAGGTCAGCTGCTCCACCCGCACCCCCTGGGCTCCGCGGACCCCAGGAGCAGAGTCTGGGGGTGGGGGAGGTCCTAGGTACCACGTGAGCTGGAATGTGCCCCTCGTGGTGCCCCAGGCTGCAGTCCAGCAGTTGGCCTCTGAGCGGCTCCTCCCCTGGGGGGGCTGTGAGGCTGTCCACCCTTCCCCTTCCACCCTTCACCCATGGCCTTGACCCCGTGTCCGCGTCTGCCTCCACACGCCAGCAGTCAGCAGGGGGCCTGGCACCCTGGCACACTCCTCTGCCCATGCCTGTGCGTGTGGGAGTGTTGCTCACGGGTGCGTCACCCCTTGCCCAGCTACTCCAAGGACTACGACCCGGAGGACTGGCTGCAGGTGGACCGCGCCACGGGCCAGGTGCAGACCCAGCGCGTGCTTAGCCCGGCCTCCCCGTTCCTCAAAGACGGCTGGTACCGCGCCATCATCCTGGCCCTGGACGACGGTGAGGCGCAGCACCCCCCCGGCCGGGCGCCTCCCCAGGGGCAGCGGGACCCGAACCCACCGGCCTCCCTCTCTGCAGCGTCCCCGCCGCGCACGGCCACCGGCACGCTGTCCGTGGAGATCCTGGAGGTGAATGACCACGCTCCCGCGCTGGCGCCGCTGCCCTCGGGCAGCCTGTGCAGCGAGCCGCACCTGGGCCCCGGGCTCCTCCTGGGCGCCACGGACGAGGACCTGCCCCCGCACGGGGCTCCCTTCCACTTCCTGCTGAGCCCCGGCGCGCCCGAGCTGGGCGCCAACTGGAGCCTCATCCCGGTCAACGGTGAGCACCCAGGCGGGCGGGCGGGCGGCGGGCCCTGCTGACCACCCGCTGACCACCATCTGACCACCCTGCTGACCACCCGCTGACCACCCGCTGACCACCCCGCTGACTACCATCTGACCACCATCTGATCACCCCGCTGACCACCCATCTGATCACCCCGCTGACCACCCATCTGACCACCCCGCTGACCACCCGCTGACCACCATCTGACCACCCTGCTGACCACCCATCTGACCACCCCGCTGACCACCATCTGACCACCCCACTGATCACCCTGCTGACCACCCATCTGACCACCCCACTGATCACCCATCTGACCACCCGCTGACCACCCCGCTGACCACCCCGCTGACCTTCTCTCCCCGCAGTGAGCCACGCGCGGCTGCGGCCGCGGCAGCCGGTGCCCGAGGGCCTGCACCGTCTGCGCCTGCTGCTCCGGGACTCGGGGCAGCCGCCGCAGCAGCGCGAGCAGCAGCTCAACGTGTCCGTGTGTCGCTGCGGCCCCGACGGCGCCTGCCTGCCCGGGGCGGCCGCGCTGCGCACCGGGGCCGCGGGCGTCGGCCTGGGCGCCCTGCTCGCCGTGCTGGCCAGCGTGGCCGTGCTGCTGCGTGAGTGTCCCTCGGCCCCGCCCCCGCCGTGTCTCGGCCCCGCCCCGGGTAGGCCCCGCCCCTCGTGGCGTCCAGGCCCCGCCCCCGCAGCACAGGCCCCGCCCCTCGTGGCGTCCAGGCCCCGCCCCCGCAGCAAGGCCCCCGCCCCCGCAGCCAGGCCCCGCCCCTCGTGATGTCCCGGCCCCGCCCCCGCAGCAAGGCCCCCGCCCCCCTCGTGGCATCCCGGCCCAGGCCCCGCCCCTCGTGGCGTCCCGGCCCCGCCCCCGCGGCCCAGGCCCCGCCCCGTCACGTGCCTCCCCGCAGTGCTGGTCCTGCTCGGGGCGCGGCGCGCGCGGTGGCGGCCGTCGGCGCGGGACAAGGCCCTGCCGCCCCGGCCGCTGGACGACCTCCGCGACAACGTGCTCAACTATGACGAGCAGGGCGGCGGGGAGGAGGACCAGGTGAGGACGGGGCTTCCGGAGGCCTGGGCGGGGGCGCGCCGGTCGGCCTCGCGCTGAGCCGGGCTCTGCTCGCCCCGCGCCCCCAGGACGCCTACGACCTCACCCAGCTGCGGCCCTCGCGGAGCGTCCCCCTCGGGCTGGGCCGGCCGCTGCTCCGCCGCGACGCCGCCCACGGCCACGCGCCCCCGCGGCCACGCCGCCTGCAGCCCGCCGGCCCCGCGGACGTGGCCGGCTTCATCAGCGAGGTCGGTGTCCTGGTGCGCGCATGCACGGGGCGCCAAGCCCTCTCGGCGGGGGGAGCGGGCTGGCGGGGGGCACCGGTGGTCAGCCCCCGGGCCTGCGGCAGCACCCGTCCCTCCCCCCACGTGATCCCTGCACGGTCAGGAGGTCCACACCCCGAGGGGCGAAGGAGGGCTGCTCCCCTACCCTGTCCAGGAGGCCCCCGGGGTGGTCAGGAGGCCTGTCCCCTGCAGGTGCTGGAGCCCTGGTGCCTTCCCACGGCGAGCAGGACAGGTGGGCGGGGACCCCGGCCCTAACGTGCCCGGCGACCCTGAGCAGAGCTCCCTGCCTGTCCCTAGGGCCTGGCGGCTGCAGACAACGACCCCAGCGTGCCGCCCTACGACACGGCTCTCATCTATGACTACGAGGGGGACGGCTCCGCGGCGGGGACTCTGAGCTCCATCCTGTCCAGCGGGGCGGACGAGGACCAGGACTACGACTACCTCCAGGACTGGGGCCCGCGCTTTGCCCGGCTGGCGGACTTGTACGGGCGCCCCTGAGGCCTGCACCGAGCGGGGGGCCTTCCCCCTGGGGACTGCGCTGCCAGACACCCGCAGGGCGTTGGGCCCACCCACCCGGGACCCAAAGCTGCCCCAGCCCCCGCTTTTGCTTCTTCCTGTTAACCTCTCTTTGTATGAAAGAAACTTGCCCTTATGAGTGGACTACGGCTTGCACCCCGGGCTGGGCTGGGAGCACGCGGCGGGCTGTGGGGGCGGCTCTGGGAAGAGGGGCTGCAGCCCCCACGCCCAGCACAGCTCTCCTCCAGTTCCGTCCCCGGGCACCTGGCAAGGGAGGGTGGAGAGGGCAGCGGGGGCCCTGGGCGAGGGTGTGGGTACTCCTAAGAAGGACTCGCCCTGTCCAGGTCGGGGCGGGGTCCTCTCCCGGCAGCCCCACCCTCCGGCTCGGCTGCCTGCAGTCCCCCTCACGTAGTGGAGGGGGCTGGGCCACGGTGGGGAGGGTCTCCCTGAACAGACCCTCAGCCCCAGCACAGGATAGCTGTGCGACCTCCAGGACCCAAGACACTGGGCCCCAGTGAGGACAGCCGGGGCCAGCCTGTCACGCTGAGCGCTCAGCAGATGCTCAGCCCCGAAGCCCCCCACCCAGGCCCACGGCTCCAGGCTGGGACACGGGCAGATGGCCGGCCGGGATGCCCTGGGGTGCTCCATCCCGTGCAGCCCTCTTCCTGAGGGCCAGGGGTGAGGAGCCAGAGGAACTTCCTGTCCAGTGACCCCAGGGGTACTCCGCAGGCCGGCGACCAAACCTGGGGTGTAGTTGGGGCCGCTTGGATCCTCATGTCCAGCTCCTGCTGGCCTTGAAGCTGCTGGGAAGGAGGGCAGGATGTGACTGGTCTGCTTGGGGGGGAGGCTTCCGTTGTGGGGGACCCCAGCAATCCGGGGCAGCCCCTGTTGCTGTGGATGGAGAGGAACCCCAAATGGTAGCTGAAGGGGAAGTCAGACGGGCAGGGGTCTGTATTTGGGGGTCCTGGCACCGTCTGTGTGCCCAAGTGATGACTTGGGGTCGCCAAAGCAGCCACAAGCAGCCCCAAGTCTGCTGGGAGTGGGGTCTCCTTGGCCCAGCGAGGGTCGGTATAAGAAACCCCGACGCCCCCGCAGGGCCCTTCCGCAGGGCAGGGTCCCGCGCCGGAGGTCGAGAAAGGCGGGACGTGAGGGCAGGCCCGGGGTCGCGGGCGCACCTGCAGGGACGGGGCGGGCCGGGCACCTGCAGGGACGGGGCGGGCCGGGCGCCTCCAGGTGCTGCTCTGGAAGGTGAGCTCCAGCAGCCGTGTCCGGCGGCGTCCGCGTTCGCGGGGAGCGGTCTGGGTTGGGTCCGGGTGCGGGGTTCCTGTGCGGAGACCCCAGGGCGGCCCGGGGCGTGAAGACCCCGGGGAGCCCCGCGCCTTCTGCGCGTGCCGTGCTGCGGGGTTCCCTGCGGGCCCGGGGACTGGGCTGGGGTCCCCTCGTCAGGTGGTGGTGGTGGCGGCCCCGGAACGCGGACTGGGCCGGACCCTCGGCTTCCCCGCCCGGCTCGCCCCTCTGGGCCCGCGCGCGGCCCGAGCCCTCCGGCGCGTCCGAGACCGAGTCCGCGCTCCCGGGGCCGTGCGCCCACGCGCACCCGCGGCTTCCCCGCCCTCAGCTGAGGCGCGTTGAGGGCGGCCTGGGCCGGGCCCCTGGCAGGGCTCGCAGCTGAAGCCCCGGCCGAGGGGACGGCGCCCAGCGGCCTGGGCAGCCACAGTGCTGGGCAGCTGACAGCGCGAGCAAGCCGGCTTGGCAGGTTGTGTGTGGCCGGAAGTGCACCCGTTGCTTCTTGATTTCCGCCTTGATGGCGTTCAGCTGTTTGTGGTAATTCCTGATGAGTTTTTGCATGGTTGTGGGTCTGCGCCAGGCGGTCCTGCTGTCGGCCGCCCTCTTCCTGAAGGTGGCTGCGGGTCCAGACAGCTGTGACGCGAGGTGGGGGCGGCGGACATGTCGTGGGGTGACCCCAGTGACCGAGTGACGCGAGGTGGGGTGACCCCAGTGCCCGACGTGAGGTGAACCCAGTGACCGACGTGACGTGAGGTGGGGTGACCCCAGTGACCGACGTGACGTGAGATGAGGTGACCCCTGGTGACTGACGCGAGGTGGGGGGTGATCCCTGGTATAATGTGAGGTGACCCCAGTGACTGGCATGACGTGAGGTGGGGTGACCCCAGTGACCGACGTGACGTGAGATGAGGTGACCCCTGGTGACTGACATGACGTGAGGTGACCCTGGGTGACTGTGAGGTGGGGTGACCCCCGGCTACTGACACAATGGGGTGACGCGCAGCTCAGGCCTGCGCCCGCATGGCTGACCACGGGCAGAGCGTCCTCCATCTTAGTCGCCTCCTCTCCGGAAGTGTGTGCGCGTCCAGCAGCGAAAAGGGCTCGGGCCTCTGAGGCGCCGCCATGTTGGCGGGGAGCCCCGGCACGCGCGTGGCGGAGGCCACGGCGTGGTCATCTGCTGCTTTTTGCTTTTTTTGCTTAGTTATTGCCTCTTTTATTTATAAAGGTTAGTTTTTGTTGGAAAGGGAGCATATTTACACAGGAGAGCTGGGCTTTTCCGCATCCGCTGGTTCTCTCCCAAAATGGCCGCGCGGCCCGAGGGGCGCAGCGGGGCCTTCTTCCGGCCTCTCGTGAGGGCGTCCGCCCGGGCTGGCCCCTCTGCCGGGCAGCCGGCCTGCCAGCCTCGCCACAGCGCGCCTCGCCTCCGCTGCTTCGGTAAGTGGCCGCCATGCGGGTGCGCCCGGCCGGCTTTGTCCGGTGCTGGGGGGCGGGCAGCGGCCAAGGCGGGGCGGCCGTCGGGGGGCCAGCAGAGCCGGGACACTGAGCTGTCGGGTGGGTCGGGGGTCACAGCTGTCGGGTGGGTTGGGGGCGTCCCGCGCTCGGGGTCACAGCTGTTGGGTGGGTCGGGGGTGTCCCGCGCTCGGGGTCGGGGGTCACAGCTGTCGGGTGGGTCGGGGGTGTCCCGCGCTCGGGGTCGGGGGTCACAGCTGTCGGGTGGGTCGGGGGTGTCCCGCGCTCGGGGTCGGGGGTCACAGCTGTCGGGTGGGTCGGGGGTGTCCCGCGCTCGGGGTCACAGCTGTCGGGTGGGTCGGGGGTGTCCCGCGCTCGGGGTCACAGCTGTCGGGTGGGTTGGGGGCATCCCGCGCTCGGGGTCACAGCTGTCGGGTGGGTCGGGGGTGTCTCGGGGTCGGGGGTCACAGCTGTCGGGTGGGTCGGGGGTGTTGGCACCGCGTCACTGAGGGCCCCGTCTCAAGCAGGGCTGTGGCCTGCTCGGCCCGTGGGGTCGCGGGGTGTTGGTCTGGGTCCCACACACAAAGGGTCCCCGTGTGGGGGAGGCTGCCTTACTCTGGCTCAGCGGGGTCGGAGGCCCGGCCTGCTTCAGGCTCTGATCTGCACCCGAGTCCTGCTGGGGCGCGTCTCCTGGATAAGCTTCGTGTTTCTGTGGACTCAGTACTAACAACCCTGTCTCACTCTGTTTAAAAGATGATATGAGGGCCTGGAGCGGTAGCCTACTGGCAAAAGTCCTCACTTTGCAGGCACCGGGATCCCATGTGGGTGCTGGCTCCTGTCCCAGTAGCCCTGCTTCCCACCAAGCTCCCTGCTTGTGGCCTGCGAAAGCAGTGGAGGACGGCCCAAAGCCTTGGGACCCTGCACCGGTGTGGGAGACCTGGAACAGGCTCCTGGCTCCTGGTTTCAGATCGGTTCAGCTCTGACCATTGCGGTCACTTGGGGAGTAAACCAGCAGATGGCAGATCTTTCTGTCTCTCCTCTTTCTGTAAATGTAATTTAAAAAAAGAACTTAAAAAAGAAAAATAGGGCCCGGCGTGGTGGTGCAGGGGTTAAGGTCCTCGCCTTGCACGCCCCAGATCCCATATGGCTGCTGGTTCTAATCCCGGCAGCCCTGCTTCCCATCCAGCTCCCTGCTTGTGGCCCGGGAAAGCAGTGGAGGACGGCCCAAAGCCTTGGGACCCTGCACCGGTGTGGGAGACCTGGAAGAGGCTCCTGGCTCCTGGATTCAGATCGGCGCAGCACCGGCCATTGTAGTCACTTGGGGAGTGAATCATCGGACAGAAGATATTTCTCTGTCCTCCTTTCTGTATATCTGACTTTCAAATAAAAATAAAATTTTTTTTTTAAGGGGGGCGGAGATCTTCCATCTATTGATTCACTCCCCAAGTGGCCGCAACGGCCAGTGCTGTGCCGATCCGAAGCCAGGAGCTCTTCCCGGCCTCCCACACGGGAGCAGGGTCCCCAGGCTTTGGGCCGTCCTCGACTGCTTTCCTGGGCCACAGGCAGGGAGCTGGATGGGAAGCGGGGCCACCAGGATTAGAGCCTGTGCCCATATGGGATCCCTGTGTGTTCAAGGCGATGACCTTTGCCACTAGGCCACGTTGCCAGGCCCTAAATCAATGTATGTATGAGAGAGCTTGGAAGGGGAAATGAGGCAGAGAGTTCTGCTACATGTCTGCAGTAGGATGGACACAGCACGGCCAGGGAAACATACTCCACCGCCCTCCGGTCTCCTGTGAGCTCAGCAGGGACGCAGATGTTCTAACTGACCGCTGCTTCCTTTGGGCCAAGCCACCACCACACCCAGACACACGCCGTGGGACACAGGTCGTCCCTGGGCTCCACACCTGTGACCTTGATTGGTTTGAAGTCTTGGGGGGAGGCTTTGGGCGAAGCTGCTGCCGGGTGCTGGCCTCTGGGGTGGCTCCACTCCTGTCCAGCTCCTGCTGGTGGACTAGCAGGCAGTGGGGGATGACCCACGCGCCTCGGTCCCAGGTCCCTTCCGTCTGATGTTTGCTTTATCTGCGTCTACCTGCTGAGTGGTTCAGTATCACCGCTGGGCAGGGCTTGTCTGCCCTGGCTGGTCACCCCCGGCTTTCCTCCACACCCTGCGTGGGCTTGTCCCCTCAGCCTGGTGGGCGCTAAAACAAAAGCTGGGACACAGACATAGGGAGACCTCGCTGGGGTGACCCCAGACCCGACTCTCATGTTCAGCTGTCACCCACATCAGCCTGGTGATTGTAATTGCCTGGTGAGTTCCATCTCCAGCGGATCAGTGGGTGCTACAGCGCAGCCCAGCCTGCCACAGGCTGGCCCTTGCGCATGCCAGCAGCAACTGTAGCCTAGTTGGGACGACCCCCCAAATCCCCATCAGCTTCAGTTTCTGCATGTGCCAGTGTGTGCAGCAGTCTAGTCTGCTCAATGCTGTACCCCACTTGGGCAATGCCCCCCACGCCCCAGAGTGCACGTATGCCGACGGGTACTGCCTTGTCCTGGCCTGCCCCCGCCCTGTCCCTCATGCACCCCAGCTCAGCACCTACTTAGGGAGTAGCGCAGCCCAGGCTGACATGACTCGAACCCTGTCCTGGCACTTGCCAGTGGATGCAATGGCCTGGCCCAGCCCAGCCCTGCCTCAAACCCAGCTCATCTGCAGGCCATGCCAGCCTGGTATGCCCCCATCCCTTGGCATGCCTACTTCCCCTGTTGGCCCTTGCCCACTGGATGCTGCAGTCTGGCCTGGCCTGGCCCCATCCTCAGCTCTCATGCAGATCAGTTGGTGTGATAGCCTGGCCCGGCATGGCCTGAGCCCTGTCCTGGCTCCAGTCTGCTAAGGTTCCACCCAGGCTTGCCTGGTCCACCCCTAAGCCAGCCCACACATCTGCTGATGGGAGGTGCAGCCTTGTCTGGTCTGACCCACACCCAGCCCTGACTCTTCTGTTCACCACTGGGAGCTACAGCCCACTAGGGGAACCCCAAGTTCAGACTCAGATTTGACACATATCAGTGGCACCTTATCTTCACAATCTGCTCCCACCACCCCCGCCTCGGCTCTTGTACTGCGGCCCTGCCTGCGCTACACCCACTGGTGGTGCCTGTGGGTGCTGCAGTCTGGACCAGCCCAACCTGTTCCCAACCCCAGGTCCCGTGTCAGTCCCGTGGCACGCCTAGCGTGGCCCATTGCCATCCCAGCTCTTGAGCAAAGCAGCAGGTATTGCGGTCCCACAGGGGCGAGCTCACAGTCCTCCAGAGAATCTGTCCCCAGACCCAGTCCTCTCGTGAGCTGGTTAGTGTCAGGGCCCAGCCTAACGTGGCTCATGCCCTGCACTAACACTGGCAGAGTGTGACTGAGCCCTGCCAGGCAGGCCCGCTAGCTCCAGTGGATGGTGGTTGATGCTTCCCAGCCTCGTTCAGGTCTCCCACATTTGTGGGTGTATTGATTTGACTCAAAGTTCCCCTGGTTTTCCTCCTGCAAACCACCTATTTGCAGCCCCTCACTTCCCTGCAGGTGGAAGCTCCCCAGAAGTCACTCCTCACTGGTAACGCTCTCTCACTGGTCCCCTCTCCCACATGTCCCTGTACCCCTTTCCTGAGCAATCCACAGCCACCCTGCCGGTGAGTGCACACTCCCGAGCCCAGTCGTCAACGGTGTGACATGCTGGCCGAGGGCCCTGCTGGGCGCCTGGGACGATGCGCGGGTCCCCAGCCCGTCTGCTGGTGTGCTGGTGTCTGCCCCCACACATGCATTGGCATACTGGTATAGTTAACACAGACTTGGCAAAGCCAGGCCCAGAGCGTCCGCCAGCTGTTAGCTGCTCTTCTCCCAGCAATGTAACTCTTGCCTGGGTACAAGGCAGCCTAGGCCCTTTCCATGGCAGGGGAACCTCTCAAGATCTGCTAGACGCCACCGTGGGACTCACTACTATTTACTTATTTTTATTTGAAAGGCAAATTAGAAGGAGAGACAGAAAGAAAGTTCATTTGTCCAGTGGTTCACTCCCCAGATGGCCGCAACAGCCAGAGCTGCGCCGATCTGAAGCCAGGAGCCTCTTCTGGGTCTCCCACGTAGGCACAGCGTCCCAAGGCCGGGCCGTCCTCGACTGCTTCCCCAGGCCACAGGCAGGGAGCTGACGGGAAGTGGGGCACTGGGACAGGAACGGGCGCCCGTGTGGGATCCTGCACATGGAAGCCAAAGCTTTAGCCGAGGAGCCATCGTGTGGTTCCAGGACTCGTCACAGCAAGTACAGCAAGTTGAGACCTGCTCTAGCCTAGTGTGACGGGCTCAGCTCTGGCCACACTGCAACCGTTTGCAGAGTGAACCAGGGGGCTGACGATCTGTAGAAATCTGATCTGCCTTCCCAATGAAAATGTTTTAAAAAGAAGCGTTTGCTGTGGGGCCCACTGGTGGGGTCACTCACAGCATTTTGGAATCTGTAAGCTGAGCTCTCTCAGTTCCTGGAATTTTGCACAGCTGGGCTGTGCAGCAGCCACAGGCCCCTCCTGTCCACACCCCGCTTCTGTAGGGGCCAGTGGCATGGGGTGCTGGGAGTCGCTCAGCCACCCCAAGACCGTGGCCGAGGTGCTGGTGTCTGGAGGTGCCACCTGCATCTTCAGAAGACAAATGTGACACGAGAATCTAGGATCCGGGGGCAGCTGTGAGCGGGGGGAGTCGCCGACGTGGCCTGGCCGTTCCGCAGCGCACAGCCCTCCTCGGTGGCATCGATCCCCCAGAGAATACCAGCTTTGGCTGGGTTATAGGAGAGGGAGGGGGTGAAGGCTGTGATGTCACTGGGGGGTCGCTGCTGCCTGCATGGGGCCAGGGACGAGTGTGCTCCTGGGCAGGTGGACAGCTGGGTGGCAGAGGACCGCACGCTGCACTGGGGCAGGTGGTTGACGGGGCTGGTTGTGTTGGCATGCTTGTAGCGTACAACAGCAGGTCGGTCTGTTCCCCCATGGTATCCACAGACACAGGATTTCTTCAAGATTTACTTCTGTTTGAAAGGTTGAGTTGGAACATGTGCCTAGCTCCCTCCCCAGGTGGCCGCAATGACTAGGGTCGCCAGCCCCTGCCGTTTGCCACTGGAGGGAGCAGGCCTTTGAACCAGCACCCACGTGGGTTGCTGCACCTAGTGCCACTAAGCTGGCCCCTAAGAGCACTATTTAAAAAATCAGTGTATTTAGAAGGTAGAGGGTGAGGTCTACCAACCTCCACCCTGGGGTCCCCTCACCCCAGTGCCTCCCCACATGGGGGCCGGGGCAGGGATTTGAGCCACGCCTCGTTGTCCCCCGGGGTGGCCTGGTTGTGGCTGACCTGGGGTCCTTTCTCGGGGTCACTTGGGGAGTGGGCGTGACACTGGTGCCACACCCACACCAAGCCTGGGTTTGTCCCGTCCCAGCTCCCCGCCGTGTGCACCCAGGAGGTCGCTCAGGTGCCAGGGCCCCTGACACACGCGGGAGACCCGCTGGGAGCCAGGCCTGGTGCGAGGGAACCGGCGGGGAGAGCTGCTGTCCCTGCCTTTCAGTACAAGCAGCAAAAGCCCGTTTGGGATGGCGGAGGCCCTCCCTTGCCACCGGGGTGCTGGGCGGGTCGAAGCCAGGAGACGGGGTAGCTTCACCCGCTCTACGAACCTCCCCCCTCAGGAGGCAGAGGGAGGCGCGACGGGGGCAGCTGCAGCGCTCACACCCCGGGCACCCCGGGACGTGAGAGGTAGAGGGGCCGAGCGCAGTGGGTCCCTGGCCGCTGCGAGAGACCTGAGGCACACAGAGCATTTTAATTAATTTATTTATTTCTTTACACGTAACTGAGTGATGTTACAGTACATAAGTTATTTACAACTGTGCAGTAATGTGTTGCAAAATAAATTATCTAGAAGGCAGCAAAAGTACATTGTGAATGTATATAAAACTGTACAGCATTACGGATACACTTTTTATATGATTATTGGCTCTGTAGTGTTTCAAGTTATGTTCTCAGAAAGAGAAACAAAATGCCCAAGATTAAAGGAAAAAAAATATACAAACCACGTGGATTTGACTCCATTAAAAACACTAGGGGAGCGGCCCCGGCCTGCTGAGGTGGGGCGCCCTCGGCCTGGAGGTCGCCGGGGTGGACGGGGGGCTCCTGGCTTCCACGGGGCCGATGAGAACGGAACGCGAGTCCAGGGGCGCCCGGCCGCCCGTGCCGGGCTCCGGGGTGCCACCCCCGGCCGGCTGAGGTGCCCCCGCTCCCACGCGGGCCGTGGCCTCGGTGGCGTCTCCTTCCCACGCCGGGCAGTCAGGCCGGCAGCAGCACGAAGTCGTCGTTCACGTCCACCATGGGCACGTAGAAGGAGGGCACCTCGTTCACGCACAGGGACTTGTGCCCGGCGGGGTCCAGCTCCTGCACCTTGAGCTGCCACTCCATCCTCTGCACGGCGTTGAGCGCGGCGGCCTCGTGCTGCTGGCGCATCAGTAGGCACGTCTGTGGGCAGAGGGCCAGGGGCTGGGCACAGGCAGGACCCGCGGGCGCCCCCAGCCCCCCAGGCTGCAGGGTGGGGGCCCTCCAGCGCCCTCAGGGACCCGCCTTGGGTGGGGAGATGTGCGGTACCCCTTTCCTGGGTTGGCGTGTCAGTCGAGGGGTGTGGGGGCCCCTCAAGGAGGGGCAGGGCGGGCGAGGCTCTCTGCCGCCCCCTGCCGGCCGGCTGCCGCTCACCTTCATGCGGTCGTACTTGTCGTCCACGTCCTGCAGCCAGGAGATGAACTGCCGGGCGTTGAAGCGGTCCCGCACCGACTTGTTCTCGTCCCCCTGTGGTGACAGATGCGGGTCTCGTGGGGACAGGGGAAGAGGGTGCAGGGACCCCGGAGGACATGGCATCAGCCACCTCCAAAGGCTGCCAGGCACGGCCCTCGCCCCCTACGCCAGGACTGGCACAGAACGGCTGTGGGCAGGCGTGGCGAGGAGTGCCGGTCCACTCCCCACGGGTCACCCGGGTCTGCCACGCGGGCTCAGGGCCTCGCGCCATCGCCAGCTGCCCCGCAGGCACGCTGAGGGCGAGGGGAGCAGCTGGGTGGCCATGGGGTGTCGCAAGCAGCAGCTTCACCTGCTGTGTTTAACTTGGGACTCTTGGGCGTGTGACCCCCGTGCCCTGACCTGGCCTCACCCCACACCCCTTATCTGAAAGGTAGAGTTAAGGGGACGGGGGGACGGAGGGGAATGGGGGGTCTCACTAGGACACTCCCCAGATGGCTGCGACGGCAATCACTGGGCCAGGCTGAAGCCAGGTCTCCCACGTGGGTGGGAGGGTCCCCAGGCTTGGGCCATTCTCCACTGCTTTTCCAACCTAACAGGAGCTGGATCAGCAGTGGAGCAGCCAGGACTTGAACCGGCACCCACAGGATGCTGGCACTGTAAGCGGAGGTTTATCCTGTTAAGCCACAAGGCCTGCCCCAGCTTTCCTGCTTTCTTCCCCTTTTCACAAAGGGAGTGGATTCTGTCAGCAGATGTCTGAGCCGGAGCTGGTGACTGAGGGTCCTGAGTGGGTCTGGCCACCTCTCGGCTGCCCCCCTGCAGCAGAGGTCTCTCGTGGGAACTCGTCCCTCTGGGCCCTCGGGGTCGCCCACAGCAAGCCCTGGTGGCACTCAGGACCCCCGGGGCACGTGCCATGGGAGCCGGCCCCAAGGGGAGGTGTGTTCCAGGCGAGGGCAGCGTGGGAGCATCGTGTCGGAAGTCCCGCGAGATCCCTGAGCACGCAGGTCGGCTCCTCGGGCAGGTGCTGCGGGACTCGGCGCGTGCCCGTCTCTAGGGAGCTGCTCCAGCCCGGCCGCACGGCCTGGGGTCCCGCCGGTGCATCCACCTCCCGCCCGCTGTGCTGTCTGCCCAGGGGCGGGTGGGGCGCGGACCTGGCTCTCGAGGGGCATGTTGTAAACCTCGGAGTCCAGCAGCATGGTGCAGGCGCTGAACGGCACCGCCTGGTTGGCGATGGTCCTGGCGGCCCGGCAGTGAACCCGCAGGATCTCCTGCTCACAGGACACGATCAGCTTCTCCTGGAGGCAGCAGAGGCGAGAGGGGAGCGGGCAGTGGGGACGCAGGCCCGACACAGGCCCCCCACACCCTCCCCCGGCCCCCCGGTCCCCGGCCCCTACCCGTTCGATGCTGTGCTGGAGCCGCAGCTTCCCTCGCACTGCCTCCTGCTGCTTGAACAGCTCCTTCAGGGGCTCCGCCAGAGAGGGAGGGGGCGCAATCTGCAGGGGCAGGGGCGGTCAGTGCAGCAGGACCAGCCCCCCTCCCCACTCGAGTGAGACTGTGAGGGGTGCAGACCCTGGCTGGCGGGCTGAGCCCCCTTACCCACGGTGGGGTCTCAAGCCCCTTTCAGGCACTTTACAGCTCCAGGCCCAAGGCAGACAGCCTGGGTCTCGTGGTGCTGGGTGGAGAGCAGTGCCCACCCTTCCTAGCCCACAGACCGACGGGGGCATGGGAGGCAGGCAAACTCCCACCCTGAGGCGGGCAAAGAGAACGTGTGGCTATGCGGTATCCATGCTCCCCGTCCCCTACCTGTGGAGTGCCAAGGGAAAGCCACCCCGAGCCAGGGGGCACTCCTGACCCCAGGATGGGGCAGGGCAGGGCAGGGCAGGAGATGCCAAAGCCTAGCTTGCATGCTTGCTCTCGGTCCTGGCTGGGGCCTGCGGCTCAGGTCTCCGCGGGGCCACGACCGAGGCCATTGGGCAGCACCTCAGCCGAGTACCCAGTGGGTCGGGTCCCGGGGAGGGGGTTCCTGGGGGTTCTGCTTCAGGCTGGCCGTACCCCTTGGGGTGTCCTAGAGGGCCACGTGTGGCCCTAGTGTTCCCGCAGGGACTTGTTCTCCCGGAGAGGCGTGGTGTCTGACACGCGGCCCCGCCAGCACACAGCGCCACACCCGGGACAGTGGGGGACAGAGCAGCAGCCTGCCCGGTGGAGGCGGCAGTGCGGCCCCCCGGGAGGCCCCGGCCACTCACCACGGGGATGTGCAGCTTGCTGAGCGGCTTGCCGTCCAGGAGGTAGGAGCCGGTGTAGGTGACGTACTCGGCGTAGCACTGGGGCGCCTGGGGCGGGATGTAGCACAGGATCTTGCGCTTCTCCTCGATCTTCTTGCGGATCTGAAGGTACTCGAAGTAGGGGTTGGACCTGTCGCTGTGATAGGGCTCGATGGCGTCCAGCTTGATGGCGTCCACGATGGCGGCCAGCGTCTGCTGGATGACCTCGCGCGTCTGCTGCGTGGACGTGTGCAGCTGCTGCAGCTGCTGGCTGGAGCGCTGGAAGCGCCGCTTGCGCGGGTGCTGGGCCTGCGCGTCGTCCTCCTCGGAGCCCCGGCCCTTGGCCCTGGCGGCCGGGGCCTCCCGCTCGGCCACAGGTGCGCTCTGCTTGCCCTGACTGGCCAGCATCTGGGCCCGAGTCCTGGTCATGCGCTGGGGGATCTCCTCCACTTTGGGGGCCCGGGGGGTTTCGGCGCAAGGCTTGGGCTCCTGCTCCGTGGCTTCGGATGCCGGGCCACCCAGCGGGCTCCCTGCCGGGGCAGGCGCGTGGGTGGGTGCCAGCTCTGCCTCGGCCTGCCCGCTGCCGTCCACAGCTTGGGCCGGCGTGGAGCTGTCCGTGGGGGGGCCGTCGGGGGCACAGTGGGAGGCGGCCGGAGGGTCAGCGGCCTCGGTCTCCTCGTCCTCGTCCCGCGGGGGTTGCTGTCCAGGCGTCCCGGACCCCGGGACGGAGTCCGAGGCCTCGGGAAGCCTGTCGGCGGCCACAGCAGGCCCTGCGTCCACTGCGCCTGCCGAAGCCGGCTCCAGCCTGGGCCCTTCCCGCCCGGGCTCGGGCTCGGGCTCGGTGGGGAGCCGGCTGGATGTCTGGTCTGGGGTCGGGGCCTGCTGCTGCTCCTCCGTGCTCAGCGCAGGGCCACTGCCGCCCTCGACAGCCACAGGGGCCCCCGGAGGAGCCTTCTCGGGAGGAGCCAGCCCCTCGTCGGTGGGCTCGCTCTCGACTTCCGGGACGTCTTTAGCCTGCAGGGGCAGCTCGGGCAGCGAGAAGGGCCCCAGGTCCAGGTCGTCCTCGGAGGTGGGGAAGGCGTCCGACCAGGCCACCGGCCCCACCTGGCCGAGGGCGGGCAGGCTCTGGCTGCTGTCCAGGAAGGTGTTTTCCAAGGACCCCAGGGGCTCCGCGGGGGCCACGGCCGTCCGACCTGCGGGCTCGGGGTCTACGGGCAGTGCGGGGTCGGGGAGGGTGGTACAGCTGCTGAAGAAGGGCCCCAGCCGCGGAGGAGGTGCACAGGGGGCGGCCTCCTCGGCCGTGGTGACCGCGACCGCGACCGGCAGCTCCTCCACCCCGTGGTCTTTGGCTTCCTCCAGCCCCGGCTCGGGGACCGGCAAAGGGTAGGACACGGGAGAGACGGGGTATGAGGTCTCGGAGGCACCCAAGGGTCCGGGGGCGCCCGGGGGGAGGGGCTCGGCGGGGCAGAAGTGCCGCGGGGACTCGGGGAACCGCTGGGGAGACTTGAGCAGGAGGTCTGAGCCCACAGGCCAGCCCACGGGGTGCTCGGAGGGCAGGGCCTGCTCGGCCGCGGGGTGAGTCCACTCGACGGGCTCCTCGGTGATGACGGCGCTGAACGGGCCCTCGTCCAGGGGCTCCAGATAGTTGGGCTCTGGGGGGATGATGGCGGCGGTGGCTTGCTGGTCCTCGGTGGCATCCAGGGGGAGGCCCAGGTCGGGGGCCAGCAGTTCGCCTCTGGAAGAGGGGGAGGACTTGGTCTGTAAACTGGAGAAGACGCCGTCCGGGGCGGGGGCGACGCCGACCACGGCCGCAGGCGGGCAGTGCAGGGCCTCGGCCTTGGGCGAGGGGAGGCCGTAGTCCGAGGGGTAGTAGTCCGGGGACAGGCAGGCGCACTTGTCCGAGGGCACGGCCTGCAGGGCTCCCTTGTCCTCCAGCAGCTGCCGCACCGGGGAGCCGTAGCTCGGGGCAGTGGGGACGCTCTGCTGCCGGAACAGCTTGTCCCCGACGCTGAACTCCTCCTCGGGGGTCCTCCGGACGTCCACGGACACGGAGCGGTACAGGTTCGTGGACAGAGGCCGTGTGGACGTCTGGTTTGGGTTCTCCGGAAGCCCACTCGGGGCCACGGAGAATCTGTCGAAGAAGGAGGGGGAGCAGGCGTTGGTGGAGGCGGCGGAGACGGCGATCGGGTGCTGGGAGTCGGCGCAGTCGAACACGAGGTCCGTGTAGTCCTCAGCCGAGCACGACGGGGTCCGGGGCGTGTGCATCACCTCGTCGTAGCTGGGGCAGGACGCCACCGAGGTGGGCGTGGGCACCCCCGTGGGCCGGCCCTGGTCGGGCCTGGGGGAGGCGGGCAGCCCCTCCTTCAGGGGAGGCCCCGCCAGCCAGTCTTTGGGTTCGGGGCCCGGGCCCGCGTGCGGCTTGCTCTCGGGGCCCGTCGGCGGGGTGGGTGCCGACTCCTTGAGCTTCCGGTCTTTGCCCGGCGGCTCGGGCCCCGGCGGCTTCTTGGAGGGCAGGTCGAGGCTCTTCTTGCGGCCCTCGTCGGCCGCCTTGGCCTTGTCCTTGAGCTTGGGGTCCCCCGAGCGGTGCCGCATCTTCTCCATCTGCTTCATGCGCTCCTTGTGCCGCTTGTGCCGCTCCTCCACCTCCAGGTCCTTCTGGGACAGCATCCTCTCGAAGCTGGTCATCATGAGGTCGCCGTCGCCCAGCAGCTTCTCGCGTGGCCGGGCGTCCTTCCTGCCCGCGTCCCGGGGCGGCGGCGGCGCCGGAGGCTTGTCGCTGCTGCTGCTGCTGCCCGGCTTGGCCGCGTCGCCCTTCTCCTTCCCTCGCGCGTCCCCGAGCCGCAGGCTCTCGTCCCGGGCCTTGTCCTTGTCCCTGGCGTGCCTGTCGCGGTGCTTGTCCCGCTCCTCGCGCCACTTGTCGCGGTGCCTCTCCCTCCTCTTCTTGTCCTTCAAGAGGCTCGCGGCGCCCGACCCGTACGGCTTGAGCTCCTTCTCCGCCTTCTTGGGGGGCTCTCGCTCGGGCTCGTTCCTCTCCTTCTTCTCGGCGGAGAGCAGGTCGGCGGTGCGCTCCGGCACGCCGTCCGGGTCGGCGCCCACGGCGCAGGGCTCGGCGCCCGCGGCCTCCTTCTCGGCCAGGCCGCCCTGCCGCTCCTCGGCCCGCTCCTTCTTGTCGGCCTTCTCCTTCCGGGCCCGCTCGCGCTCGTGGCTCTTCTTGGACGAGGACGAGGAGTGCCTGTGCCGCTCCTTGTCCCGCAGCTTCTCGGGCAGGCCGCAGGCCTCCTTGGCTTTGTCGTCCGGGCCCGGCTCGGCGAAGGTCACCTCGAGGAGGGCGCTCAGGCCGGGGTCCTGCGCGCGCTCCGTGAAGCTGTCGGACGAGACCTCGCTCATGCGGTCGTGCGCGTCGTCCCCGCACTCGTGCAGCGCCTCCTCCTGCAGCTTCTCCAGCAGGCTGCGCTCCCCGTCCGAGCCGCGGGCCTTCCGCTCCCGGCCGTGCTCTCGCTCGGCCTTCTCCCGGTGCCTGCTCTTGCCCTTGTCCTCGGAGCAGTGCCGCCGGTCCGCCTTGTCGGGGAGCTTCTGCCTGGCCCTCCTGTCCAGGGCGCCGTCCCCCGAGGCCCGCTCGCGCCTGTCCTTGGCCCTGTCGGCGGACTCCTTGTCCCTCTTCTCCTTGGCCTTCTCGGCCATCTTGTCCTTGCGGTCCTTGCCCCCGTCCTTCCTCTTGTCCCGCGAGTCCTTGTCTTTGGGCTTGTCGGCGTGCGGCCTGTCGGCGGCCGGCTTCCTGTGCCTGTCGCCGGGGTGCGGCTCCCTGCCGTCCTCCCGGTCCTGCGGCGCGCCGCCGGCCGAGCGCGCCTCCTTGTCGTCCTCGCTCTCGTCTGTGAAGATGTCGGCCATGTACCAGCTCTTCTCCTTGCCCTTCTTCTCGGGGAAGTCGTCGGAGGCGGGCCCCGGGAAGAGCCGCTCCTTGCGCTCCCGGGCCGGCTCCAGCGACGCCTTCCTCTCCTTGTCTCTGTGCTTCTCCTTGGCGTCCTTCTTGTCCCGGAAGCACTTGTCCAGCTCCTTGTCCTTGGGGCACTTGTCCAGGACAGGCTTGTCGCCCGACTTGTACTTCTCGCCTTTCGCCTTGTCCCTCCTCTCCTTGTCGGGGCCGTCCCTCTTGTCCTTGTCGCGGGCGGCGTGGTGCCTGTCCCAGGGCTCCAGGCCCCGGAAGTCGGCCTCGCAGCCGTGCTCCTTGGCGTCGTCCCGGTGGGCCTCCTTCCGCTCCTTGGCGCCGTCCGGGGCCTCCTTGCGCTCGCCGTCCCTCCTCCTCTTGTCCTTGTCGGGCAGGTAGCCGGGGAGGGCCCTGTGCTTCTCGGCCTGCTCCTTGCGCTTCTCGGCGCCTCTGTCCGCGTAGTCCCGGTCCCGCTTCCGGAAGAAGGCGTCCCGCAGGTCGCGCGGCTTCTCCCGGGCCTTGGCCTCGCGCTTCCGTTCCTTGCTGTCCTCCTTCACCGTCTCCAGGATGAGCTTGGCCACGGAGTCGCCCTTCACGTCCCTGTACTCGGTCACCGGCGAGTCCCAGCTGTCTTCCCCTTTGAAGTCGAAGGTGGAGTCGGAGAGGTCGGAGAACCAGCGCTCGGGCTGCTCGTCCGAGAGGCTCAGCTTGCTGTCCTCCGTGTCCAGGAACTGGCTCTTGCCGCAGTAGTCGTCCAGGCCGGGCTCTTCCCGGTGCGCCTTGTCCTTCTTGGGCTTCTCCTTCTCGTCTCGGAAGGCCTTGTCCTTGTCCTTGGGAGCCCTGTCCTCCTTCCCGTCGCTCTTCTTCTCCAGCCGGGAGGGCCGGTCTCTGCACTTCTTCTTGCGCTCCTCCTTGTAGAGCCGGACCTTGTCCTCCCTGGCCGCCTTCTCCTTCTCGCCCTTGCCCGCGCGCTCTCGCTCCTCCCGGAAGGCCCTGCCCGCGTCCTTGGCTCTCTTGAGCGCCTTCTCGTCCTTGAAGAGCCAGTCCTTGTCTTCGGCCTTGAGCTTCCCCAGCTTCTCGTCTTTCTTGAAGTGGTCCCGCTCGTGCCGCAGCGCCCTGGCCTTGCCGCTGTCGCCGGGGCCGTCGTCCAGGAGCACGGCCTTGTCCGCCTTGGGCCTCGCGTCCTCGTACTCGTAGGCAAAGCCCCTCAGCTTGAGCTCCTGGCCGCCCGCGCAGGCCCCCTTGCCCCGCTCCCGGTGTCTGTGCCTGGCCTTGTGCTTTTTCACGACCTTGCCCTCCTTGTCCAGCCGGGCGATGGCGCCGTCGGCGCTGCCGTGGAAGACGCCCTTGCGCTCGGGCGCGCTCGGCAGCCCTGCCCGCTTGCGGGGCTCCTGCTTCTTGCGGGCCGGCTTGAGCGACTCCACGCTGGAGCTCTCCGAGGAGTAGTCAGACTCGCTGGTCAGTCTCGTCCTTGTGGAGTCTGACAGGGAGCTCACCTCGGACCAGGCCGGGGAGGAGATGGTTTTCCAATTGTCCGTGTGCCAGGGCTTGGCGTGGGGGTCCGCGTGGTTGGGGTTATGCTTCTGGACTGCGGCGCTGCCGTGCGAGGAGGCAGAGGAAGCGGAGAGCGAGCCGAGCAGCGAGGGGTCTTTGAGCACCAGGGGGGAGCCCTTGAGGCAGCCCGAGCTCCCCGCCGAGTCCCCGTCGTCCTCGTCACTGTCCGAGCACTCGCTCTCCGACTCGGAGGAGCAGAACTTGTCACTCCTTTTGCCAAACCGCACCTCCTTGCCTTTGGGCTCTTTCTTCCGCTTCTTTTTCACCTTGTTTTTCTCTTTCTGCTGCTTGGCATTAGAAGACTCGCGCGTCTTACCGGTGGGCACCACGGTGTGTGCCGCGAGCCTCAGCTTCTCTGCGGGCCCCACGGCGAGGCCGCCATCCTCCTCGTCCGACGTGTCCGACAGGATACGGTGGACTGCTTTCTTGGGTGCGACCGTGTGGTTTTTCGGGAAACTCCTGACCTCCATCTTAGGTATGGAGATACAGCCACTGGACCTGGCTTCTCTCCTGTAGTCCTTTTTCAGCAAATGCTTGTCGTCCACGGGGGGCACCCTGTCCTGCTCATCGTCCTCGTCAAACTCGTACTCGTCCTTGACGGGCGTTGTGGTTTTCTGGGGCTCGGGGTTCTTGGCCTTGTGCTTGAGGCCCTTCTCAAACTCGGAGTCCGTGTTGTTGCCGTCCACTGAGCTGGATGGGGCGAAGGACGGGGCGTCCTCCTCTTCGGAGCTGTCTGTGGAGAGAGGGAGGGAGGCGTCATGGCGGGGAGCCAGGCTGCAGGCGACACAAGCTGGAGGCTGCGGGCGGGGGCTCCCCCTCTAGTGGCCCCCGGCAGCTTACCGGTGGGACTCTCCTCGCTGGAGGTGTAGGTGCCCCTGCCCAGCAGCAGGTTCACCATGGTGGGGGAGCTGGCCACCTTGAGTGGGGTCTCGCCTTTTCTGTTGCTTTGCTGGGGATTTCCTCCATACCGCAGCAACAGCTTCACCACCTGCAAGAGAAGGGCCGTGGTGAGGCCCACCAGGGAACGGCAGTGCAGGTCCTGAGTCCTCCACGGCCACTCGGCCCGGTCCTTGCTCCACCATCCCTCCTCAGTCCTCTCTCCAGGGTGCCCCCTTCCAGGCAGAAAGCTTATCGGCCTGTTGGGGGGCAGTTCTCAGGTGCAAAGGGAGCGGGTTTGGATCTGCTGGTTCAGTCTCCTTGTCTGATTCCACGCAGGGAAGCTGCAGGTGCACGGCGCTGCTCCTACTCCCAGGGCAGCGACACGCGGAACCCGAGTAGGAACTCGACTCGACTCAGCTACAGCCCAGTGTGAGCCCACAGCATCCGTGTCCACCACGGCCCCTGAGCTGCCAGGAGCCCTGCACCCTGAGGTGGAGCACACCACCGAAGGAAGGGGGAGACTTGGGGTCCAGGTGACTGGGTCCTCAGAGGTCATGCCATGGATTTCGGGTCACAACTGCCCTGCCTGCCCCACCATGTCTCCATGGCGTCCAGCCCTGGGCATCTTTCAAGCCCGGATGCAGCTGTTCAAGGAGGACCTCAATGGCCATTCCCCCCCGGACTGCTGCCTCCCACTCGGGCTCCAGCACTTGTCCGACTCTCAAGCCCTTTGCTGCAGCAGCCATGTGGTGAGGCCAGAGGGAGCTGAGAGCGGCACACCCCACAGCTTCTGTTCTACTGGGCAGTCCTCTGTCCCTCGGATTTTGGCTTGTCACGCAAGCCCGGGTTTCATCATGGAGACTGAGGGCTCGGGCCAACCCAGCCAGGCTCTTGGGTGGCAGCGTGCCCAGGGGCTGGGGTGACGGCAGCCACAGGGGGCAGGAGTACCCACCTTGTAGTGGCCATTGTTGGCGGCGTCATGCAGGGGTGTGTCGTCATCCAGGCCCTTGGTGTTGACCTCTGCACCTGCGGCCAGCAGCTGCTTGGCAACGTCGTAGTAGCCCCGGTTACATGCCTCATGCAGCGCCGTCCAGCCTGCAAACAGAGGCTTGGATGCAGTCAGGAGTCCTCCAGACGTGCCCTCCCGTGTCAAGGCAGGGCACGGCTGTGCGTGGGGGGCCAGGCAGCCACACACACAGGGCACCCCCGGCAGGCAGCTTCGGCATTGTCAAGACAGGGCTCCCCTCCCTGTGCCCCATGTAGGAGAGCTGCTGTAGTCGGCAGTGGTGACCTGGTGCCCCTGGGCTCTCACTAGAGGGTCCCAGGCCACTTGAGGCGACTGGGGCCTGTGTCAGCCTGGAGTGTGACGCTCACTCCACCTGAACGAAAACGGGGAGACTGGGTGCATGGCACGGGGCGCCCTCTGCTGGGGCGACAGGGAACTGCCCGAGTCGCGGAACTGGGGATTTTGGAACACAGCAAAGCTAATCATTGTCAGTCAAATGACCTGGGGGGTTCAGGCTCCCGAGAAGACATGCTGTGGGCAGTGGTGGCACAAGCTGGAAGAACACCCCTCTCCCATCCTCCTCTGCCCAGGCCACGCTGGCCTCGCTCACCTGCAAAGTCCTTGACGTTGACGTCGGCCCCCTCCCCGATGAGCTCCTTGATGCGGCGGGCGTCACCCCGGATGGCAGCCCGGTGCAGGCGCGTCTCCCCACGCTCGTTCCTCTTGTTCACTTTGTCTTTGGTCTTGGAGGCAGAGGTGGGTGTGCCCTTCTGACACACTGTGGACTGGGAGGGGTGCTTTGGCGTCGTGTCAACTGTGAGCCAAGGGCGGGGCAGGGGGACAGGGCATTACCGGCTGTGGTCCCATCAGGGCAAAGGGGACATCTGTGCTGGAACCAGTAGCCCCAGCAAGCCCGGAGGGGCACGCGCTGTGAGGTCCCTCCCCAGGCCTGGGGCTTACCTGGGCTGTTTGCAGACTCCTCTGCGGTCATCTGCATGAGGAGCGCCACCTGCTGGCGCTCGGAGAGGGGGTAGCCGGCTCGGATTCCAGACAGCCCCATGCCGAACAGCAGGCCCGCCTTGCGGGTGGCGGGTTCCTTCTTGATCCGCTTCCGCTCGGGACCCTGCTTCTCTGTGAGGCAGAAGGGGAGAGGGAGTTCATGTCACAGGCCCTGCACTCCCCCAGCAGCTTCCAGAGTGAAAGGTGAGGTGTGGGAGGCACTCGGCCCCGGACAGGCTGTGGTGGAAGCACACGAGTGGCTGGGACAGACTGTCCTTCCCCACTCTCCTCGAGCAGAGACTGGAGGCACAGAGGACACCCCGCTGGCCACCTTCCCCGCATGCCACGGGGCTCTTGGGGGCATGCCAGCCTCGCAGCCCCCAACACGGACGGCGCCAAGGAGGCTGCCCTTCCTGGCGCTTCTGCCAGGCTGTGAAGTGAGGCTGGAGTCAGTCTGGTCGGTCAGAAGCTGGGCTTGGTGGACTCCGCTGAACGTGTGCCTGGCCCTGGCTGCCCACACCCCAACTCGGCACACATGGCTCCTGGTTTGCACCTTTCACAGGCCTCCTGTTGGTGTCATGCACGTGGTAACAGCGGCCATGCAGCTCCCTCCAGGATCCCTAGGCTGAGGCATGTCCCACAGAACCCTCTAGAAGCACACACCCACAGGGGATGCACGATGGGTTCCTTCTGAGCACTGCAGCTGAGGACCAGTGGGCCAGTCTTGCCTCTGGGCTGTGCGGGGAGGTGCGGGTCCCAGAGCTGGATCCAGCTCTCATTTGAGGTGCCATCCCCCCCAAGCACAACTCCCTGCAGGTCACAGCAACCTGGCAAGATGGCCAGGAGCCCGCCTGTGTACCTCTGGGGTCCAGACAGCTCTGGGCAAGGACACAGAGCTGGCCTGCGCCTGTGGGGTGCCTGCTGTGTCCAGGGACTCCCTTGTCCCCCGGCAATGCTCAAGGAAGCAGGGGATGCCCCCTTCTCTGCTCTCCCACAGCTCTCATCCCCTGGGGGTGTCTGCCCAGAGAGGACCCAGGCCACTCACCTACCCCCACCAGATGCCCGCAGCCAGGACAGCTGCAGAGCCCACTCAGAGCTGCAGCCACAGGGCAGCAAACCCCGCCCAGGCCATGCTGTGCGTCTCATCTGGAGATGGGAGGAGCTGCCCAAAGCTGCTTCCCAGGGAGAGATGGATGGTCACGTGCATCCCAAGTGCAGCCCGGCCAAAGTGGAACACAGGCAGGTCCAGGAGGGAGCGTCGGCCGAGGATGGCTTGGGATGTGGGAGGCCGAGCCTGCGGGCATCGCTGAGGCAGCTCCTTGGAGGCCTGGCACAGGAAGACGCCTTGAACTCCACACCTCCGTGGAACCACTGGCTGGCAGGCACGCCCGTGGCAGGGACCAGCCATGACTGCTGCCTCCCAGGGTCTGCGCTGGCAGGGCCAGGACTTCAGTCCAGCGTCCTGACAGCGTCAGTACTGCTATAGCGCAACAACGTGGCCTTTGAGAGCCAAGACTTTAAACAGGAGGAGCTCACGGACAACACTCCAGTCCCCCCAGCTCTCAATGGAAACGGCGCCTGTCCCACCTGGCCTCCCAAACACAGCAGCCTGAGATGCTGAGCGCCACAGATGGCCTGCATGCTGCCTGGGCACCCAGACTGGACACCCAAAGGTTGGGAAACAGGGAATCCACACACACCTGCCGGCCACCTGATGGTCCCAGGCCTGTCCAGCACGACCAGCCCTGGGAATGCTTGGAACCCCGTGCACTACTTGCCCTGGTACTGTCCCCAGCAGCTTGTGGTCACAGTGACATGCTGTTGGTATGAAGGGTGCAGACACCCCTGGGACAGAACAGGCCCACCATCACGGTGCAGAAGCACAGTGAAAAAACGGCGACACACACTGTCGCCCTGCCCAGCTAGACCACATGCTAGAGCAGACCCTCCCCCAGAGGTCAGATTTCAACAATGACCCCATCTCTGTAGCCACAGGTTACCGCACACCCACCCTCCCAAGGTTCTGCTGGGTGAGGCCCCCTGTATTCCAAGGTCACACCCCAGAGCCGGCAAACATACCGTGGAACCACCCTCAGCTATTCAATGGAGCAGACCTGCTCCCGGGGGAGACGGGCCCAGCCACCCAACCTGGAGCAGAATGCCCTACTACCCGACAGTGAGCCCTGAGTGTCAGAGCTGCAGGGCTGTGGATTCAGCCCCGCTTACAAGGCCAGCATGCCCAACCAGGGAGCTGGCTTGAGCCCTACCTCAATCCAGCTAGGGCACCTGGGAGGAGGCAGTGATGGTCCTGCACCCCCAGGGCACGCTGGACTGGGCTCCGGACCTGCCTTTCTGAGCCACCAGGGGCAGATGTGTTCCCAGCTTGCCCCAGACAACATCCTCTTGTGGTGGCGGGTCAGCAAGACCTGTGACAAGGTGTGAAGAAGGGGGAGGACTGTGTGTCCCTGTCACAGCTGGAAAAGCTGTGAGAGCCACGGGTGGCCAGGGGAGGAGGGACCCAGACCCAGGAGACCAGTCTCTGCCAGTCACACCCAGCATCTTCCCGTATGCAGCCAACAGTCTGTCTGTCCCCTTGGTGCCCTGGGCCCCGGACCAGGAGACAGTACAGTAGCCCTGTCCTGTCTGTGTGACAGCCCTGAGAGCTGGGCTGGCTCGCTCACACGAGCAGCAGGTGGCACCAAGTGACTGCCCAGGAGCAGTGAATGAGCTGTGGCCCGGCAGTGAGAGGAGCGGCTTCTGCTCAGCTGAGTGTCGTAAAGGTGGCTGGTAAAGGCGGCACCCCGTGGCCCTGCAGGGCACCAGCACAGTTGGACTCTCCCCTCTGCAGAGGTCACACTCCTGGGACCAGAGGGTTCTTGGCCTCACCAGGCATGGCTTGCCCTGCGGGAGGGAAGGTTGTGTGGCTCCGAGCAGGACGCATGACTCCCTGGGCAGTGGTGCCCACCTTTGGCGCTCCTGCTACTGATCCTCGGAGCCCACGGGCACCTTGGAGCCCTCAGCTACCACCAAAGACGGCCCCAAAAGGAGTGTAGACAGCTGCCCTCCGTCCTGCACCCCTCCCATGGCTACGTCTCCCCACAGCCCGCCCACAGCCCTCCCACAGCCTCTACAACCTTCCTGTGCCCCAACATATCCAACAGTAAGGTCCATGGGGCTGGCCCTGTACCCCTCGAGTAGCCGAATGTCCTGCAGCCCACCCAGGAGTCGCACAGAGCCCACAGAGTGAAGCCTGCTGAGATGAGGGGACAGTGCTGGAACTGCCCTGACCACGTCCAGGAAGGCTGGCCACTCCGGGCACTGCCTTTGCTATTGACTGCGGACTCAGGCTCAGGTGTCTGTGGGCTCACAGGGACAGTGCAGCCTGTCCCCTGCCCTGTGGTCCCTCTGCCAGGGCTGGGGGGGTTACCTGTGTCAGAGTCCTTCTGCTCTCCATTGGCCCCCACGGTGAACGGGAGCTTCCGTTTGGTCGCACGCTCTCTCACCTCCTTGCCTCCATCACTGCGGTCCAGCTTTGGCGTCTTGTTGAGGGAAACTTTATCTTTATCCTAGGAGAGAAATGATGCATTCAGCCACCACCAAACCCTCACCTGCCACAAGCTCACTTGGGGCTGCGGCTCTAAGGCAATTCCCAGCTCCTGTCTGCTCGCTCACAGGGCAGCCTGGCCCGTCCGGTACCCTCAAGGGGTGGCTGCACGAGGCACCCCACGCGTCCTACACTTGTCCCTACTCTTGGGGGGGGGGTACATCATGAGCAGAAACCTAGGGTGCTGCTGTGCACAGCCACACAGCCATGTGTCCACCTCCATGCAGCAGCTCCGACCCCCGACCCAAGACGTGAGGGGTGGGGTGAAAGGTGCAAACAGAAGGCCCTCGCTGAGAGCCCCTCACTGTACCCTGCAGGGAGCCCTGTCAGGAGCCACCCTCGGCACCCTGGGGGGCACTCCTGGAAGCTGGAACCCAAAGGGCACACGGACAGGGAGACCAGGACAGAGGTCAGTAGAGGATCCTGTGATGGCCACAGCTGCACTGAGAGCCAGGGGACACACATGTTTTGAAGGTCAAGGTTTGGGGTTTCCATGAGGTGGGGACATTCAGAGTGTGAGCCAGAGAATGGAGGATCTCTGACTTTTAAATAACTGAAAGTAACTTGTAAACAAGGAGCCAGCATTGTGGCACAGTGAGCTAGGCTTCTGCCTGCAGTGCTGGCATTACACTATGGGCGGCAGTTTGTGTCCTGGCTGCTCCCTGCTTACAGCCTGGGAAAAGAATGGAGGACGGCCCAAGTCCTTGGGTTCTTGCAACCACGTGGGAGACCCAGAAGAAGCTCCGGCTTCAGGTGCCACATTTCCTCTTGAACCTCATCGGGTCCCTCGGCACCGTCAGTCTGCCTGGAGACAGCTGGCGGACTCTCCACATCAGCACCCGCTGACACACTGGGTCTGGGCGTGGGTACAGGCCTGGCTGGGGTTACTGAGTCGCCCAGCCAGGCTGCAGCACCCGCCAGAACACACAGGCTGGGCGTGGGAGCAGCGGAGACTGTAGCGGGGCTCTCAGCAGTTGATCCCCAACAGGGACTGAGCTGCTCCTGTTCCGACAACACCAGGCTGCACACCTCTCAGCCAACAGAGAACCTGGACTGTCTCACCAAAAAGTGAAGAGCAGGTACAACGTTACAGGCCAAACTCAATGAACAGACAATGGAAGTTTATTTTCAAAGATTTATTGATTTGAAAGGCAGAGTGAGATCTTCATCGGAGGGTTCACTTCTCAAATGTGCACAAGTGCTGAGCCAGGCTGGAGCCTGGTCCCCAGCGTGCCACCTCCCAGGGTGACCGCACCGACAGGAGGCCGGATCTGCAGAGCGCTGCTGTAGGACCGGGGCACCCAGACAGTGCCCTGCGGCCCACACTCCTCAGGGCTCAGCCCCACGCTCAGCTGCCCTCGCTGGCCCCGAAGGACACGAGTGCCACCTCACAGGTGCTTCCATCAGGCACCCGTGGCCTGTGCACAGCAAGGCTGTGTGTGAGCCCCAGGCGGGGAGCAGGCGGCCCGGTGCACCACAGCACACTGCCCACGATCCTGTCTGTCAGATGAAGACTTCCCTCGGCTCTGGTCTTCGAGTGGTCCTGGTCACGGCAGGGCAGAGTCCTCACTTGCGTGCTGCCACGCTGACTCAGGGGTGGTGACCATGCTGACCCACACGTCAGCTGTCAGCATTCTGACTCTATACTCATTCCCCTCTGTCACATTTATCCCCCCAAAATCTGTACTCGCACAGCCACGCCCAGTGGACGAGAGCGACACCAGGTCACAAGGGCAGCTTGGCCTCCACGGGAGGCGTGCAGGTGGTGCTCCCCGTCGCATGGGTGAGGCAGCAGGCCGCCATTCTGGGCAGTGCCACCCTGTTCTCCTGGCCTTTGGCAACTAGGGGTGCTTGCTTCTCAAGGACCAGGGACCCCACAGCAGCCTCTCAGGCCAAGAGCTCAGGGGAAACTGTCATCAAACTTTCTTGAGTAGCTTATAAGGACATGGAGGGGTTGGGGTGGGATTGTGGTGCACTTATTTAAACCCACCATCCCATGACATGGAGTGAGGCCGCTGGCTGTGGCAGCCATGTGGGCAGTGACCCTGCAGGTGGAAAACCGCTGTCTGTGTTTGAACCAATCAGTAAGTCCTGGACCTGGACATTCCCTTACTACCGTGACGGTCTCCAGGGCAGTGTGGTCAGGAAGAGAGAACGCACTCGTGCTGAGCAAGCCTCGGCCCGGCTCCTGGGAACCCTGCCTGGACTCTCTAATGGCTGTGTTGCAAGGTGGCGACCGAGGCACCTCACATCCCCTGGCTCCAGGTGACACTCCAGGTCCTGGGCTGTGGGCAGGCCACCACTCTCATCCCAACCCTGCCAGCACTGACTCAAGGCAGAGCCGAGCCTTGCAGCTCGCCGAGGGCAGGATCTAGCACTCTTCTTGCTCTCAGACCACAAGCTGGGCACATTCATGGTTCCATCTGGACCCCGAGATCCCTGTCTTATGAACTGCGGGTAAGGGGGCAAAATCAGGCCCCAGGTCTTAGGACAGCAGCTGAGCTATCCCCAGGGAAGGTGGCCCAGCTCGCAGTTTGCAGAAAACCACAACTCAGAGATGAGAGCTGTAGGGAACAGGGAGGAAAGCTGGGCTGGCCACAGCATTGTGCAGCCACGACACCAGACACCCATCTCACAGAACACACGGGGTCCATGACCCCCACCGCACGACAGCACAGCAGGTGTGCACCCCAAGGCCACGTCCTCCCCACCTCCACTCTGCAGTAGAGTCATCTCACACCCGAATCCACAGCTAATGGCACCAAACCGCGAGAGCAGGCAGGAGAACCCAGCGTCACAGCCCTGGCCTGGGGCTTCACGCGGCATGGCGCAGGCGGCGGAGCACGGCGGGAGCAGTACCTTTTTCCCAGTTTGTTTCTCCACCATGTCGTTGCTGAGAGGAAAGTCGTCTTGCTGTGGTGTTCTAGAACACCCACTCTTGGGCATCGTTCTACTTCCCTCACGTGGTCTTCATTTATGCTGCCGTCGCTTCGTCCTCAACTGTCTGCTGCAAGAGAAGACCCAGAGGCTATCAGAGCCAGCACATTCAGAACACGCCCAGGGCTCACAGCAGAAAAGGCCCTAACCCTAACCCTCAGGCCACTGCCTCCCTGCTCCTTTGAGCTCCATGGAACAGGGAGGAACATTATAGAAATGAAACCAGTTGATGGCTTCCTTTCAGCCACACGCCACACCATCCTGCAGGAACTCCTGAATCCGACGGCCACTCACACACAGCAGCGGTCCACCAAGTCCCGCACTCTGTGTTCCTGGCCAAAGGAGAAGGGTAGGGCTGCCGGGTCTCTAACCGAGCACTCTGATCCACACAGGACAACCTCTGCCTACTGCAATTTCCCACCACCCAGTTGGGAAGCCTGCATCTCAAGACTCCCAACGAAGCTGACCAGGCAACTCACAGCATCTTGCTCAGGATGGCCACCTGGGACCCAGGAGGCCATGTTTCAGAAACTTGAGAAGGCCCTGCCTGCAGTCAGGATGGACAACTGGACACAAGTGTCCCCCTGGAAGAATCGGGTCTGGTCAGTGTGCAGACTGCGACCCATTCAGCATCCAGGCCTGTCACTCTCCACCTGAGGACAGTCCCACGCTCCCGTGTCTTTGCCCAGCACAGCAATGGCCAGCCACACTCCAACTCACACCCACCCAGGCCGGCCCAGTGGGGATCTCAGGGTCCCTTCTTGCTCAGGAGGCTGGCAAATGCCCTGTCCAACAGAAGTGCTCACTGCCATTTCCCTCTGTGCACACTTCACTCCACAGCTGGCCAGGGGCACTGCTGCCAGGTGTCTGCTGGACCTCCCGCCCCAACCTGGGGACCAGCCACGAGAGAACTCTCCCAGGAGGTGAAATGAGGTGTCAGGGCCACAGGCACAAAGTTTTGGACAGCTTTCTGTTTCACAGTGACAGCTGAGGCCATACAGGCTTCAGAATCACTCTGGCTCTTTGTACCCAGATATGAGCTGCGCTCACTGGTGCATACGTTGGGGTTTCTGGACAGCACGTTGGACATGTTGCCCTCGCCTGCCCCAACCTGTCAGGCAGAATGGCCCGGCTGGCTCCAGTCCTCCAAGAAACAGCCACGGTGCTACCCCACGCGTCCGTACTGCACCGGGGATGGGCTAGCTAGGAGCAGGCAGTGCTAAGCTCCGGAGTCTGCTCAGAGGGTGAGTGGGGGCTGCCGTGAGACCCCAAGCCTCCCGAAGGGTGCCGATTCAGTGGTGAGCACAAAGGAGGGAGTTAGGAAGCTGGCCGGGCGTGGTTTCTGATCACCATGGTGACCACTGGAGCTGCAAGGACAGTCTTCCTGGTCAGGTGACATGACTATTCCTGTTTTGGTTCAGTCAGCAAGGGGATCCACAGTCACCTGGTGCCCAGGGAGGGCTGGGCCCTCCCCACATGGCAGATGCTCTGTGGCTGCTGGAGGCTCCAGGTCACGCTACCTGATGGTACGTATTTCCAGCAAACATACCTGTGACCACTTGCAGAACGGTGATGTCAATCCCTAAGGGTCCAGGGCAGCCTAGGACAAGGGCCAGCCCCTGTGCCCGGTCCTCCCGGCATGATGGTACCCACCCGAGGACACACCCATGCCGTACGGCCTCCTGCAGCACAGGGGAGGGAGGCCTGCTGGGGTCTGTGCACTCAGGGCAGGAGCAGCAGCCCTGGAGATGGGCACAGAGCATGGGCAGGCCCTCACCAGACGCACAGCTACCCTTGGCCGCAGGCTCAGACACGGCTGCAAAGCGAGACACCAATGACCCGAGCCCTCAGACAGGACACTTTCTAACAGCAGAGGAGAGGGATTGAACGCGGTCTTCCCAGGCAGAAAGGTAGATGGGGCTCAGGGCAGTGTGTCCCAGCCCTGGGATCCTCACCCAGCTGAGGAAAAGCCCTCAGACAGCCCAGCCACAGGCTGTGGCATTCAGGTCTTCAGAAAGCCAGTTCACTCAGTGGGGCTCAGAGAGCCGGGGGACCAGAACACACTGGCTGCTGAGAAAGAACCCAAGATCTGACACAGCAGATGACGGCAGGCTGCCTCCAGCAGGATGTCCAGCCACATGGGTAGGACCTACCTCAGGTACAGGCTGGTGGGTAAGGGGTGTGTGAGCTCACCACTCCTTTCATGACAACCTAACATGCCACCTACCTTCCCAGTGTTGCCTGGGCACCAGCAGGAGGCAAGGATGGCACACCAACTGCAGGGCCACCTACAGGTGCACTCCTGTCCTGTCAGCTCTGCAAGGCCTGCCCAGCTGCTTCTTCAGCTGGGATGCCACCATGGATGGGGACTGAGGAACATTCAGAGGGCCTTTAGGGAGCTGTGCGCGCGCGCGCACACACACACACACACGCGTTCTCTCTGCAGGTTACCCCTGCACACTAACCATCCACGACACAGCACTGCTGCTCTGTAAACACCTGTACTGTAAACGAGGAAAATGCCAGCAAACAGCCCACGCATGACTCAGTTTTTCACCTGCAAGTCCTCCAGGGGACACAGCGAGGCAGGCAGGTGGTGCAGTGCAGAAGGCCCCACTTCCCATCCAGCTCCCTGCCTGGGGACCCTGTACCCACATGAGAGACCTGGAAGAGGCTCCTGGCTTCGGACTGGTGCAGCTCTGGCTGCTGCGGCCTCTTGGGGAGTGAGCAAGCTTCCTCTCTATCTCCCCTCTCTGTATATCTGACTTTCCAATAAAAATAAAAGTAAATCTTTCAAAAAATGTTTTGCACCAAATTAAAAAAAGGACTAAAACTACATAAAGAAGTCTTAGTTCAAAAAATTAAACATGTTTGAGGTTAAAAGTGACTTTTAAGACATCACAGAGGGTCCGGCGCTGTGACCTAGCAGTTAAAGTCCTTGCTTTGAACGCCCCGGGATCCCATATGGGCACCGGTTCTAATCCCAGCAGCTCCACTTCCCATCCAGCTCCCTGCTTGTGGCCTGGGAGAGCAATAGAGGACGACCCAAAGCCTTGGGACCCTGCACCCACATAGGAGACCCGAAGGACGCTCCTGGCTCCTGGCTTTGGACTGGCTCAGCTCCAGCCATTGTGGCTGCTTGGGGAGTGAACCATTGGACAGAAGGTCTTCCTCTCTGTCTCTCCTCCTCTCTGTAATTCTGACTTTGCAATAAAAATAAATAAATCTTAAAAAAAAAAAAAAAACCCACAGAACTTTCTAAGCGACGCACTGGCCCCGACTCCGTGGGGAACTCCCATCAGGAGACAGTAAATGTGGACCACAGGCCTCACCGAGGCTCTCGGCACACCAGGGAGTGGGTCCTCTGCTGGGCTGGGAGCCGCCACCTGCAGGCCGCATCCCGGCTCTCTGCTAATGTGCCTGGCCCTGCACCCATGTGGGAGAGCCCAAGGAAGCTTCATACTCTGGGCTGTACGTTTCAGACTGCCCCACCACGGGGGCCGTCCAGGGAGTGACCCTCCCACCGCCACCTCTCCTTCTCCCTCTAGCTCTTTCAAATAAACAAAAAATCAGATATGCAGAGAGGAGTAGACAGAGAGGAAGATAGTCCATTTGCTGATTCACTCCCCAAGCGGCCACAATGGCAGGAACTGAGCCTATCCGAAGCCTGGAGCTTCTTTTGGGTTTCCTATGTGGGTGCAGGGTCCCGGGTCCTTGGGCCGTCCTCTATTGCTCTCCCAGGCCACAAGCAGGGAGCTGGAAGAAGTGGAGCAGCCAGAGCACGAATAAACAGCCACATGGGATCCCAGAGCTTGAAGAGAGGATTAGCCAATCGAACCACTGTCTTGGGTGGGGAACCCCTAGAACAAGCACGCAGGAGCATCTGCCGGCACCAGCAGCCTGGGGGTCAGGAAGCAGGGGCTATCTCTAGGGAAACCAAGCCAGAGTCCTCCACCTCAGTGCAACATCAGACCTCAAGGAGCCAAGAAAGCCAAGACGGAACTCTGACCATTTTCCCAAAGAACAGACAGCACAGGAAGTGAGTCTGACCCACCACTGCCCTTTCGTGGGGAATTCTGCAAAGGGGCATCTCAAGCCGCAGGGGACCTGGCTGGAGCCTGGTACATACCCGGGGCCACCTGCAGCCTGGACATCCAGAGGCTCTGCCACCAGGCGCAGTACACACACCCCTTCCAAGGCTCGGATCCAGCTGGACTGCACGGACCGAGTCCCTGGAGGTGCTCCTAGGTTCCCACGCTGCTGGACCCGCCTCACCTCACGGCCACCAGCAGCACAATGTGACATGTGGAAGGTCGGGACACTGGACTCGGGCACTATTGCTTCCATTCTGCCAGCCTGCTCACCAGCGTCGGCTTACTAGAGCGCACATACCTGATCCAGCCCGCCAGCCTGCTCACCAGCGTCAGCTTACCAGAGCGCACACATACCTGATCCAGCCCGGGCTTCCAAAGGCTCTAGGGACAAAGGCAGGAGTCACCCCACAGGGGCCTGCACAAGGCTTGAGACAGGTCCAGGAACCAGTGGCTACTGACGCCCACCCCTTGGGTAGGCACTACCAGTGCCTTAATCAGCATGGGCAGACAGACACCTCACAGAATGCAAGAAGTACACTGGGCAACCTGCCAGTACTGGGCACATAGCTGCATTTCTCAGGGATGTTCAACACCCTAAACACAAGTGCCAATCCGACAGACGCACAAAGCACCCCTCTGCAAGGTGGTGCCCAGGCTCCTCACCCCACAGAGTAAGGAGACACAGGGCTGACCCCACACTCAACCACAGCCAGAACACACCCTGTTTACTCTTCCTCCTGTGTCCCCTGACAACACCCAGGCCACGCTGCATGTGCCTGATGAGCCAGGAGCTCTATCTTTCCCAAGCTCGCCCTTGCATATGGAACACACCTTGCTTCATCCCAAATGCTGTCATGGAAGTCCCCCTCCCACCACACCCAGTCCTTAGGGGATACCAGATGACACCAGGGTGCAGGTTTGTCAGCAGCCCAGCTGTGGCATCCTCGGACAGGGTGCTTGGCCATTCCCCCGCAAG